TGAACAATTATGCATGTATATTGGTTTTCAAAAAGGCGATGCTTTTTCTAACTGAGCTTTGTAAAATTCTGTTTGGATACCACCAAAGAGAATAAATGATGTAAATGCAGAAATTGAGCATATGAATTTCTTCTTTCAGGTATTGCATATGTGGGATGTTTCAAGTATTCTTTTCCTAAATTGATCGTGAATCTTCGGAACGAAATAGATTGGCACGATATGAGCAAAACTGTGAGGGATTGTTCACGTGCAGCCAAGGAAGGAGGCTACAAGGTAATTTACCTTAGCCATTAAAAAATTCACGCTAGTGGTTTCTTAGTAATCGATTAAGCATCGACAAGAATTACAACCGTGCTATAAGAAGATAAACTTCCGCCATTCAGCCACGTTAATTAAAAACGTTATTTGTTATTACCACGGAAAATTTTACAGAAACATATACGGATAAACTAATTTACATCCCAAATTTTCAAATTAATACAGAATCATACGAAACAGGAACTTATTATGTTCTATGATTAAAATAGGTAAATTGTTTTCCCTGGCAGAAAATACATCTAGCTAATTTCATTTACGCGTACCTTTATTTCATTCCTTTAGGTGCAATATGATAGCTACGAATCCATTACAATTTGCCTCGCATAACCACGATGATCACAGGTGATCATCTTTATATAAACATCTGCAATAACATTAAATAGACTTGCGCGATGTTTTTTTTTTCAAGAAGTCGTGTGACATAAATTTGATTGCTCAGTTTTAGCACTATAATTATTTGAATATGCGAACTATAATCAAGCAACATTCAATTTTTATTTAGGTTTTTGCACTGCAGTACTACGGAGAATGTTGGGGCTCGCGAGAATTGGTTCAAATCGACAAATTTGTCGCTTCAGAAAACTGCTGGGAAGGAGTTGGGAGGGAACACACAAATGCAGTGTATATATTTGATGATTAGTTCGAATTGCACTCCATTCAGTAAACATTCAGTGTTTTCATTATTTGGAACATATAAATTCGAAACACAGTTGTTTTACGCGGTCACTTCTGCAATAACGCTTGACGTGAAATTCAGGTTTCTTATACTTTTTTATATTGGGGTGAATTGGAAAGACTCTTCATATATGCAGGATCTAGGCCCGCAAATGTGTACAGCCTGTACGCAGGAAGACAAAAACCGGTTATAGAACCGGTGAATATTGGGTTTTAGCAGGGCGCTTATATATATAAGCGCCCTGGTTTTAGCTATTATGCTATTTTAGCTATTTAGCTATTGCTCAAGTTTAAAGACATTTTGGAGGCTATTATTAGATATCATATTCATTCATATTTATTGTTAACTTGGAAAAAAACCCCGTCAGGTATGATGGATTGCTTGGTGCAATATTAATAATAATAATAATAATAATATACAATATTTATACAGGTTTACTTGATCAGCTAACCAGAGTATAGCTGCTATCATTCAAGGACCTGTTAAACTAAGTATTAAAAAACTATAATAAAATTATAAAATATTAATATATTGTCTAAATAGAGTTTATAAAGTAGATATTAGAAAAGTCCTTATCAATTATAGACGTGGTTGTTTAATATCCTACGAATCCATAAAAAACGATTTACATTTCTGCCTAAAATTTAAAATAGATATCTCATTCCTTAGTTCTTCCGGTAAGTCATTAAAAACTAGAGCACCTTGAAATGAAAACATTTTTCGTCCAGATTCAGTTTTTACTTTTGGTAATCGCAATTTTGAATTGTTCCCTCTTGTTTCCTTTTGATGGGAAATTTTTTCAAAGGTGCCGTTAAAGACCTCAGGTGCGAGACCATTTAAACTTTTAAAGACTTCTTGTACACAATGTTGTTTCATCACATTTCTTATAGAGCACCAGCGGTTTACGGTTTCATTTTTCCTGTGAACGATTTTAAAAGCACGATCTTGAATTTGTTGAATCCGGGAATTTGCAGTGTTAGATATACTAAGAAACAGATTGCTGCAATAACAAATGGTTGGTTCTATCATCACTTTATAAATCATCTCAGCAACATATGGGCTAATATTTTGTCGAATGCGTGACAAGAGCTTGACTCTCCCTGAGGCTTTTTTAATAATTCTGTGAATGTGTTTATTGTAATTTAAAGACTTGTCCAATAGGACACCCAAGTAGTCATACGAATCGACTTCATTTACGCTGGTTCCATTCATCATTACTTCAACTTGTGTTGATTTACTTAACTTTTTATTTGTTCCAAACAACACAAATTCGGTTTTTCCTTTCTTGAGGTTTACAACGAGCTTATTGACCGAAAACCAGTAAGTAAGTTTGGTAAGATCTGCATTTAGATTTGATTGAATAGTTTCACACGATTTATTGGATGTGAAAATTACCGTATCATCAGCGTAAAGAAGGATTTTGCAGCTCTGTAATTGCATGTCGATATCGTTGATAAGTAACACAAAGAGCAGAGGGCCAAGCACTGACCCTTGTGGGACACCAGTAAGAACTGTTTGTCTTACAGAGCTTGCCGAATCATACGAAACAAATTGTTCCCTTTTAAACAAGTAGTTTTCAAACCATATAAGCTCTCTTCCACTGATACCATAGCATGGAAGTTTTGAAAGAAGACGCCCATGATCTATTGTATCGAAAGCTTTTTTTAGGTCGATAAATACTGCCCCGGTTAACTCGCCCTGATCCATATGTTTTCTGATGTAGTCCGAAAAATAAGTCACAGGATGTTGTGTTGACCTATTTCTTCTAAAAGCGAATTGGTTTTTAGATAAGAGTGAATTCTTCTCAAGGTATTGGTACAATTGATTTTGAACAACTCTTTCGAACACCTTAGATAAGACTGGAAGAACCGATATGGGCCTGTAGTTGTCCATGGAAGATCGGTTACCTGATTTAAAAACTGGAGTAATTTTTGCACATTTTTCAGCTTGAGGAAAGACAGATTCTTCTAAGCACGAATTTATAAGATAGGTTAAAGGAACTGCAATTTCTTCAGCACAGTCCTTAATCATTGATGTTGGGATATTATCATAACCCGCAGCTTTGGATCGTTTTAGTTGCCTCAAAATGTTAACTAAGTCGTGGGCAGATATCTTTTCAAAATTGAATTGTGATTCCTTTGGGTTAATTATTTTCGATAAATTGGCATGATCGTGACTTTCCCAAACAGTGTTTCCAAGGGTGACTAAGGACGCCTGTAGCGTTTTTCCTACATTCGTGAAATACGTGCTGAAACCGTTGGCAATAGCATTTTTATCAGATGTTTTAAATCCATTTATGTCAAAAATCTTGGTGGTCATCGTTTTCTCTTCTTTTACAGGATAAGACCGTTTGATTTGGTTCCAGAATACTGTAGGAGTGTTTACGTTTTCGTTGAGAAGAGATCTATTATGGTTTGCTTTACTTTTCCTTATCGCACATGTGATACTATTACGTAATTTTTTGTATGCTAACCAGTCAGCAGCCTTTCCACTTGTTTTTGCTTTCTTCAGGAGGAAATCACGGTTCCGTATTTTGGATTTGATCTCGGAGGTTAACCACGGACAATCTCGACCTCTGACCATTTTTTCCAATATAGGTGCATGTTTATCAATAATTGCTGTCAGGGAGCATTTAAATGAGTTCCAGGCATCATTTATATCTATGTGACCTCCAATGATGTTTTCCCATGATATCTGGCTGAGATCAGATTTAAAACTTTCTTTATTATATCTTGAAAAGTTTCTAGTGTAAATCTTACGAGGCTGAAATCTGCGACAGTTCATTTTCCTTATTGTTCCAATGAGATCGTGATCGCTTAATGAGTTAGGGTAAACAATTTGTTTTAACAAGTATTGCTCATGTGTAGTTACAATAATGTCAATAAGTGTTTTTGAATTTGGCGTCGTTCTAGTTGCTTGCTTTATTACCTGCTTTAGGCCATTTAATCTAATATAATTCTTAATTGAGTTGTGGTCAGATGGGGATAGATAGTCACAATTTAGATCTCCTGTTATTATTACTTCTTTGTCCTCGGCAACAGCGGTACTGACCATGTCGTTAAACTTTGAGTCAAAGTCACTAATTAAATGCTTAGATGAATCAGGTGGGCGGTATAGCGTACATAACAGAATTGATCTAGATTTTTGGATAAATATTTCAATCCATGATGCCTCAATGCCGCTAACTTGTAAATCTGCCCGTTCTTGCCAGTTAAGATCATTCCTAATATACATACAGACTCCGCCGCCTATTCCAGATGTACGATCTGATCTTATCGTCATATAGCCATCAACTGCAATTTCCGAGTTCGTGACATATTTATTCAAATGACTTTCACTAATACCCAATATATGAATTTTTTTATGCGTTTCCTGAAGCAAGAGACGAATATGGTCAATCTTGCTAAGCAATCCGTTCACATTTTGGTGAAATATCTTTAACCCCTGGATTTTATTATTAGTTTATCTGAGATGTTCGTATAATTATAATGTTAAATCTGTATTAATGTTGTAGAAACCACACTTGTATGCGAAATGTTAATTATGATCATTACGATGGATAAGAAAATAAATGTAGTGCGTTTCTGTCGCCGCGGGAGTACTCATGCAACATCAGTTGAACATATATCAGTTTATAATATCGAGGAAACCTAGAATTATGGTATCATTATGCGCGTGCTCATTAAGGCCCAGCCACCCCCCCTTGATACATAAATATTCTAAAATAACATGAAAAAAATTATTAGAAACTATCAAAGTATGAATACGAGAGCTGTCAATAAATAGGATCACAGTTGTGACAGATAATCCAGGATGCCTCGTAAATTTAAGTCGAGTCATTATTAAGATGGGTTTTGAAGGATTATATATTGCAGTAATATGATACAATGCTGAGGAGATTGCAACTGTTTTAAAGATTCTTATACCAGATAGAAGTTTGTATATACAAGCTCATATATGACGCAAATATGTATCCACTATCATGCATAAAAAGAAAGTTCCATACATAGATAATGCTATGAGGCTAGTATTCCAAGCCTTCAAATTTTCGTTCGCCGCATGTTTTTTCTTTACAATGATTTAGTTTTTCTTCTAAAGTTACACATCTTTCTTTAGAATATTCAAATAAGTTATCAAATTTATTTTCGGTCAGAGCTTTAGCTGCGGTAGCTTCAAGTACAGCGCTCTGTAATATCTTCATTTTCTCCGTTTTATTTTGAACAACTTCTGATTTTCTTGTAAAGTAGTCACATTTTACCAAAAGGTGCTCAATTTTGCGAAATTCAGTTAAGGTTTTCCCATCCCGTTCCATAGACTCAACCGAATGTAATTCTCTACTCGCAGCTTTTAAGTCTTCTTCATTTGGTGCAATAGCCGCGGCCTCACCCGTCACTGAGTAATTGATTAATACCCAAGCTTTATAAATACTGAGTTTGTGCTTAAAGTCTGTCATTCTATAAGGAATATTATCTTGAATAAGAGTACTTGCAATTTTTGCAGCATTTTCTAAGTATATTAAAGCCTCTTGCTTCATTTCGTCATATTTTTTACTATTGTCTTTATTTTGAAAGCCCAAGCATGTAGCATTCATAGCACACTCCAGATACAACCACAAAAGACAAAGACCAGGGGGGATATTCTGCCCGAGCTGTAAGCCTACTTTACCTTTTTCGTAGCAAACTAGATAGTTTTTTTCGCGCCTTGCAACAAGAGATTGCGAAAGGCAAAAGCGAACATGAAAAATTAATCTGTCTTTCGATGTGGTTAAACTTTCTTCAAACTCATTTAATAGTAACTTAGCCTGTTTAAGGTCTCCGCTTTTGTAGGCAATTGTGATGCGCCCAGCTTTCACAACCAGTCCAGCATTTCTCTTTTCAAACTGCTCCGTCTCAGCAAGTTTGCACAATTTCTCAAAACCGTCATAGTCGCCCGCGTCTCTGTGGTCAACTAGCTTTTCACTTAGCTTAATAAAAAAATTCCTGTTCTCTTCTGAGCTCCAAGTTACATATCCTAATTCAGATGGTTCTATTGAAACTTTGTGCAAGGAAAACGCTCCACGCCAAAATGAATTACACCATAGACAAAAATCCATTTTTTTCTCCTATTTGTAAGAAATGTATCATTCAAAATTATATTAATATATATCTGACGAGATGCTTATAATCATATCGAGAAATTGTGAACTTTCTAGAATAATCACTTTCAAAATGCAGAAGTAGAAAAAAAGGATTGGTTTCCCCTATATATATGGGAAACGGGAACGAATGGAACGAAACAGAGTATAGGACATAAATTATAAGGACAGGTGCGGGAGGTTTTCTGTTAAAAAATAAGTTGCACAGTATAAACCAAAATAAAAAAAGTACGCATAGTAACTCTGAAAAGATCCAAATAAACTAACCTTTTGAGCTTCGTCATCAAAATAATAGCTTTCTGGTTCTGTAATGAAAACCCCGCCGCGAAAAGATGAAACATAAACCACTACAACGTAAGTTGAATTCATTACTTCGCCATGTTCGTCTATAACGTTTTCAAAATATATCTCCCAGTGTGTTCCTTTGAGAGGTTTTATCTTGTTCTTTGTCCAAATCATTTTTTCTATAACCGTGACCACCTCTTTTTTAACATCGGCTTTATCTTTCTCTTGCAGCGTTTCGCCAGTAACAATGCCCTTGTCGTCAATTCCGAAATAAATATGTCCGCCTCGGTGGTTTGCAAATCCTGACACATAGTTAGAAAACTTATTCTTATCGGTCACCGTTCTTTTTGCGAAGGTGAGAGCTTTTTTTGTTTCATTGGACGGTTCTACTTTTAGCTTTTTCAACTGAACTACTTTGCTTTCTTTTAATCCACAACTTTTATTCATAACAAAATCACGTAAGTGCGAATCTTTCGCTATGAAGTCTTCGAGAATAGCCGATCGGCCTAAAATTTGTTTAATTGCGTCAATATTATCTGTTGGCTCCACTTTATTTATTTGTTTTTCAGAAGGACTACAAAGATTGTAATTAACCGTGATAAATCGTTTACTCTTTTTCACGAGTATTAAAAATTTAAAACCAGGTTCAAAATGCTCTGCTTCTTTTATGTCGACGTAAATACTGTATTCGCTTTTAGTGATTATATGCATGATGGTCTGTTCGATTGACCTGAAATCTTGCTTCGTCTCGATGATTTTTATCATTCCTCCATCGCTGTTTAGGAACGCGCACACGGCTGGAAGTAGTCTCGATTTAACTTCTTTGCATGAAATAGTGATTACTTTACCACATGAAGTCATTGTCAAAAAGTGATCCTTCTATATAAATGAAATGAACGGAATTTCATTTCAAGGTATTTATTCCCTTGCTATAGTGGAATCTAATTCTACGCATACGAACGCAAAGCATTGAATCGGGTGAATGTGTTTCGATAGATATTCGAAACAGCGTGTTTGTCAATAATTTTTAATATTCCTATTCGACACCGGAGTTTACATTGTGCTGCAGCTGTAGTTAGTTTTGACCATGCAACGCTGGATCCGTCACTGTTCCAAAACGCAGCTCCGCGGTGCGTGTACACTGTTACTTTAAAGTGCTAAAATAACACCACCGTAGGTGCCAAATCAACACAATGCGGTGGTGTTAAATAGAAAGTACTATTTTGGTACCAATTTGGATGCTAATTTAACACCACCAAATTTGACATTATAGGCTAAAAGTAGCTACCAACTGAATGACACCTTAAAAATTCAGCACTATTGCAACTTGCAAAGTGCTAATTTTTATGGTGTCATTCAGTTGTTACTTTTAGCCTAATTTGTATTGTATTTGAAATACAATACAATACAAATTAGGCTAAAAGAAACAACTGAATGACACCTTAAAAATTCAACACCATTACAACTTGCAAAGTGCTAAAATAACACCTCTCTGGCCGGCGGAAGTGCTAAAATTGCTAAAATATATTGTCATATATACAGTATATATATATATAATTATATATATATATATATATATATATATCATATGTATCAATGTAGTATATATATCATATATACAGTATTAAAATTTAAAATTCCAGCCTAAATAAATAAAAATCACCTGAGAATATTCAAACTGCAAATGAAAACAATGAACCTCACTGTGTATTGATTTTGTATACGTAATCTTTATTACTCTTTAAATGCCAAACATACTATTTTAGTAGAAAAATGTACGTGTTTTCTGGCGATATTTAATCAAAAATGCAAACCTTTTGTAGTCGAGTGGAAAATATTTGACGGCCGTTATCATAATATTAAAATCATACAATTCAATTAGGGGTATATATTTAAAAAACTTGAACTTCAAACTTCGAGTGAGAACAGGCTGTATAATAGTGCTTATTTTATAATATTGTCTACTTAACCCATTCTTAGTTTCAGGTTAAAATGAAAATTTTAATATAGCATTTCTAAGATCAGTTTTTTCGTTGTTAAGAGCAGACTATAGACAATATAAACACATCCATTCCTGTTTCTAAGGGCAAGGTTACTGTACTTTACGTTTCTTTGTATAATTATCATATCATATAGACGATATAAAACATTCTCATCTTTTATGTGTATGAGTTATATTAACTCCAAGCACACATATATCAAACGAACTCAGGTTAGAAACCGAGGATGACAAGGATTTATATGATTTTTAAGAACATAAAGTCCTGTCGAACTTTCAACTATAAAGTCTATATATTCGCCAGTAAGTGTACTCGGCATATCAATAACAAACGACGTCATTCTTACATGCATTCAAGCACTGGCTGTCCGCTGTCGTTAAATAAGTACGAAATCGGGTCCTGTGTTGTGTATATTAATGAAAAATTCTAACCATTGGGATGATTTCAAGTCGCCGTAGCTAAAGAGTTGCCGTAACGTATACAAATAATTCGTACTACGCGATTCTATTGAAATACGCCACGTCAGCTTCATATAAAATTTTCATTGACATTGTATTTAAATTAACACTTGAATGTATTTTTGTAATTTCGCCTTACCTCGAAGAATTGATCAATGATAACAATTATAACAGTTATTACGGGTAAAGGAATTGATGATTTTTGATTTAGTTCAATAGCTATAAAGCACAAACCGTTGTTCGCGTACAAGACATAACATACATGACATGATATTCGAAGCCGAACTGTTTATATATACGCACAGCGTGATGTCATCTAGTTAGTATGAATTTCCATGTAATTTTACGTTAATTTCTTCTTAAAGTGACTTAATTTAATTTATACGTACCTTTAAAGGAAGAAAATGTCCATCTCCATGAGTTCCTTTATTATGTGAGCAGTTGGATTAGCGAAGTTCATTCGTACGTTATAAAATGTGTAAAAAAATCCGAAATAGAATTAAAAGACCTGAATGCTGAGTGATGCATTGAATCCTTATGATTCATTCGAAATGATGCATTGAGCGACGGAGTTGAAAATGCGCCTTGTTTTTTTCTATTTTTCGTCGTCGCAAGTGTCTCTTGGCGCGAAATATACTAGTTTTTAAAGTACGATGTACTACTCGATTTCGCGATCGAATAACATTTAGGTTGGCAAGGCATATATCTAAATGAGTATGAACTGTATAGTTTATGGTATGCTTAGAAGCTATATATTGAAGGCTGGCACGTGCACGGCACGCCGGAGTTAACGCCAGAACAGGCGTCTTGTAATTATTACACTTCTACGGACACAATTCACCATTAGACATTCTGCCAGATAAGCCTCAATGCTCCAATCATAAATACTTTTGAATCCTAGCTCTTGGTTTGAACGATATACGGCACAGATGCACACATGCAATTGAACATAATAGTCACATAATGGCAATGTTTAAAAAGTAAATGTGTTACCATGCATGCATAAACGGAAAAAAGCATCATAGCCACAATGAAAAAAAAAACAACACAACGAGCATACCCTCCAATTTAAACATTTACAACAAACGCAACTAGCAATGCAACAGAGAACAATAATATAGCAGGACACGCGAAACATAGGCTACAACATACAAACATAAAATTAATAATAAACGATAATAACCAAACGTTATACGTTTATCTAAAATTATAAAATTGCTCACTCTAGAACTTACAGTCATGCTGAAAATAGTTTAGTGCATGGGCAATTTTTGCAACAATATGCCTATTTGTCAAATCTAAGGGAAACATATTAATATTTCCGCGCAGCATTATAAAAATGAGGGTCAGGGATGAGGTACTGGAAAACGGAATCTTTAATTAAAGCCTCTTGAATTTCTTGAGAGTCCGGGTGTGGGAATAATGAGTTTTGGAATATTAAGTAGAAACATGAATCACGAAAAAACTGCCGGATGTCAAAATGCCATTTTCGTCAATAAATTTGTTGTAATACCATGCATGTATATATAGTTTTATGCATGAAATTAAGTGTAATTTTATATGCGCATTGGTCGTTACTAGGTCAAAATTCAAGTTAATATAACATGTACGTTAACATCACCTTTGATGTATTTTAAACAACTCGTACCAACCTATCCCCTAACAGTGGTGCTTGCATGCAACAGGGTTTGCGCCTCTCCCACTATTTCAAGAATGAGTTTTAGTTGGCAATTTGCTATCTGTAATCTACCTGCAAAGCAATCCAGTGTGTGAGTAATGGGTCATTTTGGGTGCAAACTGATTTACTATTTCTTAATAAGTGTTTCCACCAATTTTTCGAATGAAACAGAACTTGTAGACATATTAGTTGAAACTGGCGGCTAGAAATACTTTTCCCTTTCTGGTGTTTTCAACATAAATTTAAAATTATACCCTTAGCTAACAGAACACGATGTTTCAAAATGTCACTGTGGCTGCATGCACTTGTTGTAAATTTTATTTGCAAAGTTTTTGTGTTGGTTTATTATGTGGTAAAAATTTAAAGACTCAAATTTAGCCCATTTCACATTACCAATTCCAGACAAGGTAGATGTAGCTGCTCATTAGAAATGCCGCACACATGCTTTTCTCCATTTTCCAAGCACTTCACGACATTTTTCTTTTGCAAGTTTAATCAGAATCTTTTAAATTTCTGGACAAATCTTTCTCATCACTCGGTAATTGTCGCATGACGGTCTGATACAAATGTTGTTGTAATGATATATAGCAGATGAAAGAAGAAATGACAAAGCTTTTTGGTGACCTAGAGCCTCCATTGCTGTGCTACTCCCTGCTTTGTTTGCCTGTGGAATAGAAGTGTACCTCGTGAAACATTGTGGTAATTGCCCTATGTTTTATTTACTTTTATGAATATTTTGGTTTTGCAATTACCTGATTAACTACCAGGTGAATTATGACTCCAATTGTGCAGGAAAATATAGTGCATGTGCAGTACTAGTACCCACTGCTGTCAAGTCGTCCATCTCCAGCTAACACTACTTCTTTTTCTTTCAGAGAATCGAAGTTCTTTTTCTGGTAGAAATTCCAATACATTACAATGGAGGGGAAGAGAAATTGTCTTTCATGGTAGTAATATGTCACTTCATTGTAGCATAAAACTCCCATATTATTGAAAACTTGAAGTACTTTTCTGGGGGTGCTAGCACCTGCAGAAAGGATAGCAAAGCTAGGAAGGATATTCCCAGCTGGAAACTTTCCTAGAATGGTAGGTTGGCTTTTCCAGATAAATTTTTTCTTGCAGTTCTTGCAATGTGTGCTGACAACATGGTTCCACAGCGACTTTTTTTTACTTGTGGTTTAGAACTAAAGCAAATGTGACCATGTTGTACAAGAAGCAGTAGTTGAGAAAGAAAGACAATGCTCTTTTCTTTTTCCATTGGCTTATTCTGAAAAATGAATGGAGAGATTGTGAGCAAGGTAATTGGTCTAATCATTTACAACTTGAAATTTGAACATTATAAATTACAGTTTAGTTGCGGCATCATCATCACCAGCAGTTTTCTCATAATTTTGTTGCAGTTACTCAAGCTCCAATAGTGGGTCAGCAGTGTCAGATCGACTTCAGAGTCATTGTACTCATCATCAGATGTAGACATTTCCATGTCCTCCATAAGTTCTTCAACAACATTATCTAAGTTGTCTTAAATTAAAAAATGAGCTGTGCGTGGTATGCCGGTACTGCATTATGATTTATAATACATATGCCAATGCCAACCTTGAATTTTCTCTGCTAGTACAACCGGATTGTTTTTATCAGTGATAGCGTCACCCAATTGCTGAGACGTTTTTCATCTGAAAGGAAAATATTGATAGAATTGGTCATTCAATGCATAATATCACACACATATTGCAGTTACAATTTTTGTATTTTCTATTGATTTAATTGTGTGCATCCATTGTGTCTCGTTGATGGCTAGTTTTGCGTGTACGTTTGTCAATTTGGTGTTGAGCTCATCTAACTGTATTTCTTTTGCTTTGCAGCTGTGGCATGGAGTTTCACAAGTGAAGACTATGACGTCACAAATGTCACACATGGTATGGAGTTTCGCAAGTGAAGACTATGACGTCACACATGTTCTGCAATACATAATAATCGGTAAAGCAGAGTATTGTGAATCAACTGACTTATAACTTGGAATATTAGGTAAATATTCGTGTTTACAACCTTTTCGCTGGATAAACTAATTTCATCCACAAGGCAAATTCTGGAGCAGTATAAATAATTTGCATTCGTATTTATTGCATGCATATTTTTGACCCCTCTGCCGACTATATTTGACCTCTAGTCATAACTTGAAATTATTGAAGTGAAATATATTTTTCTAACTTGTGTCTGTAGTGTTTGTATAATATAGTATATTATCGCGTGTAGCAAGTGAAGACTATGACGTCACACATGGCCTTCTGCATGAACTTTGTCAATATGGCGGATTTTAATGGCGATCTTAAAATTACGAAATTTATGCGCGCATGACGGAGTCATAAAATGACTTCACGCGCTAATATTTGCAAGACATTATAAAAGTAGTCACAGTGGCACTTCAAAACTACGATGAACTGTTGCAAATGAAAGTGTTAATTTGTCGCAATGAGCAATGAAGGGCGCTTCTAGTTCTCCATCACCTCTATTATCTTCATTTAAAAGAAAAGCCCTACATGGCTGTTTGCCTTATTTCAGCTGTCATGTTCGTCTGTACAATTGTGGTGTATTATACATATACATTCATTGATGTTGAAGGATACTAAATCTGTAAACATGCATAGCAATAATTGCGCGCACACATACGAACGTTCAATCACGAGATAGGGAACGGCCTGCCCCACACTCTAACGTAAACGAATGAAGAAAGGGGAAAGAACGGTTAGAGAGTTGAGCCCGTTGCGGGGGGGGGGGGGGCGTAATCCTGGGACGTGTATGAATTGCGCAAAGGAAGCCGATGTAAAATATAATAAATTCATTCGGTTTTAGTTGTGATAGCGAAGTTGCGCGACACGTGGTCCTTCGAGTCGGATAACAAAGCAGATTCAAGAATCGAGAAGAAGTCGTGATTCGAAGAGCCTATGCTACCAAGGGTTTGGCACGGGCCAAAATCGTCGTAGAAGACGTTAAGAGAGAAAGCGCATTGGAGCTTAATACGATAAGGCTAAGCATAACGGACAATCGAGAAACATTAAGAAGCAAGTTGAACAGATTTTAGGACTCACCGAAGATGACGGAGAAGTCCAAGCAGAGATAGAGACGGCTTCGAAATCTATGAGGGGTTGGCAGCGTCAGCGATAAAGATGCATGGTAAGATACTTTATATTAGAAAAAGGGAATGAAGCGAATGTTGAAAGTGTGAGGCGAGAAGTGACACCAAAAAAAGCAGCAGCATTAGTTCGAAAGTAGAGAACGAGGAACATGATCGACTTACTAGCTGCGCTATAGTCAGGGCGTGCATTACATGTGTAAATATACCTGTACATAGTTATTATTATTTATTAAACGTCAAAAAATACACTCCAAGTTGTTACATTCGTTGAATCTGGTGCCAGCAGCAGCGTAACTTGCATCAAAGCGACAGAAGGCCCTATAAGGCTTCTTCAACTTCTGACGATATTATGCTTGAGGTACAATAATATGTGTGATCATCTTCCCCGCGAAGTAGCACTTGTAGACAACATTAGCTAAGAAGAATTCGCCGCTCATTTACGAAATGTAAATAACTTTTGTAATTTGGAGAAAATCCCAACATTGTTAATATAAGATATTGAAGAAGCCAGTTTGCCCGTAAATGCTGTTTGCACTGTTATAATTTTTTTCTTTTACTTCTAGCGGTAGCATTCCTAGATTTAATTTGATTTTTAAATCCTAATAGAGAACACGCAGAAAAATCATACCTAACTAAAAAACTGCGCTTTATCGAGCTCCATTTTGGAGATACTTTTGAGTCTGGCACAAACATAAAAATATCTTCCTTTTCTTGTCTTATAGACTGAGAGTGAATGTGAAGAATAATTCCAAAACAAAGGACTAGGCAATGGCAATTCGATCTACAAGGTCCGCATTTGTTATATATGTTGGTAACTACTGTATACATACAAAGAAATTCTCATGACATGCTCACTGAAAATAAGTAAATTTCAATAGTTCATCAATCAAATCCAGCCACATATGTATGTTATATAATCCAGCTGCATATGTTTGTTATGATATAAAATATGAATTGTTGAAAAAATGCAATTCACACATTTCTTTGTCTAAATTCAGGACTAGAGGTGCCATGACCAGCGCACCTCCTCTGAATGATAAAGAGAATGAGGCATGCTGTAAAGCTCATGTCTGAATTAAGAATAAAAAATGGAAATGCAATAAGAGTCTTTTGAAGAAAAAATATGGAATTGACTTATTCCTTCAGCAGACAAATTATAAATGGCATGATGTATGCTCTTGTGAAAAGCATTGGTACTGTACGTTTAAAAAAGCTTAATTCAATAATTTAAATTGTGTGCAGTATATGGTTCACAGAGATACTGTTCGAACATTTCTTAACAATAAGCGGCTTAAATATCAATTATAGACGCTTTCCTATAGATAATGCTTGTGAACGGCACCAAGTGGTAAAAGGTTTTAAAATAAGCAATTTTATAAGCAGTACTAATAACAATTGTTCGCTTGCAATGATGGAGTTTTCGCTACCAGTATAACATTACAATGAAGCTGGATGGAATACATAAGGACATACAACAGGACATACAACATTAAACAAGAAATTTAATACAGTGCACTAACTAAACGGATGGTTAAATAAGTCAGTTAACAGGACATAAAATACAAACACAATATATAATACTGACAGTGACAGTACACAAGTCAATAGAGGGTAAAAGAAACAACAGGACACACAATATAATACAGTGCATCTAATATTGAGGGTAAATAAGAAAAAATGAAATGACAAAACAAGATTGTGTCAAACAAGTCAATTTTGTGTACCATAACAAATTAACAATAGACAACACACTGTGCAAACATGGATTCATAACATTGATGATTCATTGATTACTAGAATAGCTATGTAGTGAAGCTTTAAATTGCATGGGAAGCAAGGTTGTGATTGACAACACAATGTGCAAACATTGATTCATAACATTCATGATTCATTGTTTACTGGAATAGTAGTGAAGCTTCTAATTGGGAAGCAAGGTTCACAATGAAGAATCAAACCCAAGAACACCAAGCGAACAAACACAGCAATAAAGCTATCACCCACTTTCATCCACATCTGGAAATATTTATAACACAGTACACAAACTTAACAGGATATACAGTATACAAAATGCAATAGGTACTGACAGTGACAGCACACAAGTCAATATATGAATGGAAGAAACAGCAGGACTTACATTATAAAGACAAAAAGCTATAATTTAAGAGTAAAAAAATAACAATTGGCAAACACAACCAAACATTGCCAAGTGATTAACTATGAGTTAGAAGCATAAACATTGTACCATAATTTTGTTTCAAACCTTTTCCTTAACATATATGTTCCACATCTTGAATTGGGATGTCCATTCTCTCCATATCAAAATTTTAATCGCAGAAATCCAGCAAACTACATCACAGCCCAAATTACCTTACAAGTTCTGTATACATGTCTATATCAGTCTAAAATAAAATCACCAAAGATTAAATATTAAATTTTGTCCAGTTGGTAAATATAGAAGGTGGTAAATCACACTTAACTTGTTCACAACAATTGGGAAATATTTCGGTTGAAAGTTGCTTCAAATAAGGTTGCATGCTTTATACTGTATTCCTTCTAAACATATTCTATAACCTACTGTATATAATTTATAAAAGAATTTAATAGCAAACCAAAACAGTGTCAATAACTCTGACAGAACTGGTTAATGATGCTTTGATAGTTTTCAAGTTCCAATCCACTGACCCTCCTATGCCTTATAAATGTATTTTTACTGTAAACAATACAAACACAATTGAAAGTTTAAAATATGTTAATGTAACTTTTCCATTTCAATGATCAGATTTCACCGAGGGGCAAATACCCAGGTAAAGATTGGGTGCCTTAGGTATGTTGCCTGGGACAGTCAGTTTTAGCTGGACAAAATCTAAAATTATTGCTATTGTTCTCTTCCCCTGGTTTCCTATGGCCCTAATTGTATTTGGCATTGACAAAAAGAAACCAAAGAGCAGTTTAGTTTCAAAGTTGCTTAATTAAGGTTGCATGCATAATATTCCTTCTAAACATAAACTATAGCTCATATTAGTTAAGAAAGAATTAAATAAGTAGCAAGCCAAAGTTGTGTCAATACCCTGGCAGAACTGGTTCATGTTTTGATAAATAGAATTAATGTTTATCACTTTTCAAAGATTAGATTACTCCATTATTGATAGGTACATATGACAAGAAGACACAAAAGAGCAGGAAATGTCCCCCACGAATGTTAATCAAGAATAGGTTTATTTATCACTTATTGAACCAATGTATATATTTTAAAATAAAACATAAAATGTGTATGCAAGAGACAAAGCTTGCGCTAGAAATTGAATATGAGTCTTAAATCGCGGGTATGGGGTATGGGGAGTACCTGTATTTATATAAAAATGATCAGTATATACTATATACTGTATAAATACACTTAATATCATTATACTCATGACATACAGCAAAACTAGAAGGAACATTTAACCTCATACCAAAATAAAGTCGTCAAGGAAGTACTCTCTGATACAAACTCCAACAACTGCTTTCCTTTCGAGTTGCAACAGAGCTGCTTCTTCGGTCCTGACATGTGTAAACGAGTTAACACTATATTTAACAGTGGTCAGTCCCATCTGTTGACTTGTATTTGCATCAATAGGTTAAATTTCAATTCACTTCTCGCTACAAGTGCTCAGTCTCAGTAAGACTTTTATATACAAGCATGTGACATTTTATGAATTGGTAAACGTAGTTTGAAAATCAATTTCAAGACGCCCCATGTTGTGATAAGCACAATCTTGACTTTCAATAAATCTTTTTGAAATAATAAGTAAATAGTCCAGTTACGTTGCGCGTTCAGTGACGTCAGTGATCGCGAATAATAAGATCACAGTTTGATAAGATATAGTTACTGCGTCGCGCACTACGTTACTACGTGTTTTGTTTTTTTTCTTCGTGTTTTTTACGTTTTCGACCCGGTCTTCCTGGCCGCGCAGGCCAACTAAGATACTCGTATTTTGAACTCGTCTGATTTCGTATCGCCGGAAATATCTTCGTGCTAAACACACTTCAAATAGTAATCTAAGCCTAGTAATCCCCACAAAAGAAATATTTTACTGAAACCAAAAATTGAAAAAGTTTGTTGTCGCCGGGATTCGAGCTCGGGTCGTGCGAACCAAAAGCAGGAAACTGCATGCACGATACACGTCATATAAAATAACACGTACACGAGTCGCTGTGCATGGCCGATAGCGCAGGAAATCTAGACGTCTGTCGTTCGAGAAAATACGTACAGGTAATCATAATGCTGGATTCTCGTCTTGTCTTGTTTGATATGCTCACTCTGCATACACTAGCACACACTGATCATGGTAAACCTACACTAAAACGGGTTTACAGACAACGATCACATTATTATTAAACTTTATACATGAATCGTGAAAGCCTTGTATGCCATGAAAGCCTTGTATGCTATGAAAGCCTTGTATGCTATGAAAGCCTTGTATGCCATTCTATGCCATTTTTCAATCAAACCGCACCTTCCTTTCAAGAGTAAATTAAAAACGGCCAGACCGATCCTATTGAATTTCAGTACAAACAGATTGCTAGAGTACATGATTCCAAACTCAGCCTTATTCACGTATATCGTTAGCTACATATGCCTAGCACCAATAATGCAGTTTTACCCCTATATTCTGAACGAAGTGCTCTATTTACTAGAAACGCTAAGAAGGAAACATTTTTCTAAAGGAATAAATATTGACAGGAAATGGGGCACAGTTGCATGCAACGATTCGCGCGACGCAGTAACCGCCAGAATTGGCGTCTTGTTATTGGGAAGGATGGAAACTCGTGTAATAATATAAACATACATACCAATTTCACTCGCAAAATTTCACATCAAAACAACGAGAATCCCTCAAATAAATTATCAAAAATACATTTTAGATACTCCAACAACATGATTCCATTAAAAATATATTTTTAAAAACAAATGAAAATAAGCAAAAAATGTACAAAACTTTTGCCTATTTGCCGAAAAATATCGTGGGAGCATGCGGGACATGAAATGCGGTTTGGGGAACGAATCTGATTGGCTAAAAAAATAAATGACGTCTGATTGTTAAGCATCCGGGGGGTAAAGTTAAAGTTTAAGGCAAGTTGAAAAAAAAACGTTAAGACACAAAAAAATTAAAGTTTGTTTCTGTTGAAAATTTATAAGTACCATTTTTATGCGAACGTTTTAAACGCAAATGGGCTAGAATTTTAAAAAGATTGCAAAGGTTAAACCGGTTTTTCAACTTGCCTTAAACTTAAACTTTACCCCCCCCCCGGATGTTTGACAAACATGCGTCGTTTGTTTATTTTTTTAACCAATCAGATTCTGATTGGATACCAGACAGGATATTTTCCGAAGCTCTCTTCCGAAGCTTTATAATTTTATTGAAGACTGGCACGTGCAAGGCACGCCGGAGTTAACGCCAGAACAGGCGTCTGGTTTATTCAGACTTACCCTGAATATCCGCCACTGAAACTATAAAAATCTTGAATCACTAACTTAAACCATAGGAAATCCGAATGACATTTGGATTGTCTATATGCCGGAACTTTGACATCGACGACTGCATACGCATAACAAATTAAGCACTCCGTCGATCAAAGTCACTGATATATTCAGTTCGGCCCAACGGATTTCTATCGTAAGCTGTTGGACTTATACAAAAGAAATTCGTCGGGGACAACTGAATAATAGCCATCCCTAAATTAGCGTTTTAGTAAGCATTTCAACAGAAATGTTGTAAAAAACCCCTCAGACGCACGCACTCAGATTGGATGCATTTTGAAAGCACGACACGGTTTGAAGGTTTTTTATACAAAATTAGATATATTAATCCGCTTTGTTTTGCCTATTTGCGTCTGATGTGCGTGCCGTCTAATTAATTTATTATTTTAATAAAGCTTGTTTACTTTGTTTCATTTGCAATTTATTGACAGCCTATATGGAATATCACTTGTAAAATTTAATATTTAATCATTTTGACTGATAAAAAACTGAGAACGCGAGAGAATTATCTTATTGCATGTTCCTGCACCACTCTTCAACGCGTGATTATCCACAAGGTAATTTGATGAAACCATTGTCATTCCATGAAATTTTACCTCAAAACTGTGTTACAACATATATTACTCTTTCCTTTGTCAGTTGAAACATGATCATTCCTTGCACTTTGAATTAATGTTATATGGTAATAGCAATTCTTTAGAAAGCGCTCATGCAGCCAACCAATTACAACAACAGGATACTTGCTATGCAGGACGTATAAAAAAAATATTAAACGTATAAAAAAAGAAATTAAACCTTTAGAAATTAAACTATTGTTATAATTTAAATGCCTGAGTGATCAAATTTCCAAGCCCACGGGTGCGCAAAAATGCACAATCGAATAAAATCTAATGGCATGACACGAATTATTACAGCTCATTCATTTTGCACCGGATGTGCGTTTCAAGAACCTTTCTCAAAACGTGTTTTGTACACAGCTGCACATTATGTCTTGATATAAGTCTGGACGCTATTATTGTGCGGAATTATTGTGCAGAATTTTGCTTTTAGGAGATATGTCAAATTCGTAGGAGCAGAAAGGGTTTTGTGCAAAGATATGTAATATTCAAAGCTGAGATCATTTTACACATCCAAAGGCTTATATAGCTTAGTGATGGGCATTAGAATTATAACAATTGTTTAAATTCTAAAGATCTGCTTTTTTATACACCCTGTAATGTGGGGGCACCCGGGACGGTTGTCATCGTGTACGTCTGTAGGATTAATTGAATAGTGCACCTAACATTTTTTTTCACCTATAAATTAAATTCTTATAAAAAAAGCTCCGAAGAAACTCCTCCCGAAATTACTGTTAAAAATTGCCCTTTATTCTTTTTTTTCTTCCTACGTTTGATTAAAAGTTTTAACTTTTTTTATACAGTCAGGGTGTATACAAAAACGCAACATTAAAATATTCATGAAAATTCCAATATCAAGAATTTATATACTTATAGCGATTGCGTTTTTTTAACACCCTGTTATTATAATGCCCGATTAACCAGTTCCGCCATTCGGGCGTGAATATTTTATAAGAATAGACGAGATGATTTTTACATGCATAACCACTATTTGCATTTCATCGGCCTGTTCAAATATCCGCCGCTGATATTGCATGCGCACACAAAACTTAATAATTGGACACTATTATTTCGCTCAAGCGTAATAATTTATGATCAATATATAATAATACGCGTGTGCATAATATAATAGCATACAACGTTAAAATATATTTAAGAGAGGGTGTGCTTTCAGCGTTCTTAAAAATGATTGCAACGCTTTGTTACGGTTTCAGCATTTTGGTAATAAACCCCATCTTATTGGTCGAGTTATGTTCACCAACAAGTCCTAAACCTAAAGGAAGCGTTCCGAGTAGCCCGCAGATCTCTCCGACTGGATCGCCAACGACGAAATCACATAAACCAGCACGTGAAGTCATTCAAAGAAAAGAAATGATGTTAGTTCCAGTTAAAGGTATAGTGACTCATTGCGTCAAATTTTATGAGTAAATTAAACGAAAGTAAAATGAGCATGTTGCGACGCGTATTTCATGTTTGCATCACTCAGTATATCGTTGCAGTCAGTTCGCTAATCGGTTTAAGCTTGATGGGTCGAATAGGTTTTTTCATTTGTTTCGTACAACCTTGGTTAATAACCAGAGATAAAAGTTGGCGATGCTCTTTGGCTCTCAGTATATCTGGAGTTTTAGAGTATGACGATAACGCTATCTATGCAAGACTTCATGCATAAACTGACCGGCTCCTGGTTGATGTCGTATATGAAAATTAATTACTCTCCATGCGAAATGAAAACGGCAGTATTCACAGAGACGTTCAGGAGCAATCAATTTTTTAGCAAAAACTTCTGTTAGTTTACATTGCTTCCAGATGCACTTATTTACAAGACAAGCAAGAGCGATCATCTGTACACATAGCAATTTACACGAATATGTTCGCTGCTTTTTCTCGCAGTTACAGACGCAGTTTAGCTCGAATCGCATTCGGTAAAGAGGGACATTAAACATTGCTTTATCAAATGTTTAGGTGTCAATTTCTCTGCCCTGGTAACCTAGAACGCTAACATAACTCATTCATAACAGTAATATTATAACGGAACACATTTTAATTATTATGAGAAAAATTAATCCTTGCGATAGCTATGAATAAATAATTAATATAAGTCTGAAAGTCAATGGAGCAAACAAGAACTACGTAATAAGTAAAATTTTTTTGAAAATTTACCATTTTTCTAGTTTTTGAACGCGACAGAGTAACTAATTTTTAAACTCACATATTGCCTGATACAATTATAAGGTTAAAACTCATAATTTTTATATGATAAATGTAGTGAAAGAAACTACTATCGTGATGGCAGAAACTACTATCGTGATGGCAGAAACTACTGCATACAAAATCGTCCGGACAGAGTGATCAATGCAGGGCCGTAGCTAGACCGCTTAATTGGGGGGTGTATATTCCTTTTTTTAATGTTTATATACCGTAGGAACAATAGCGTACAAAATAAATCAGTTGGGCCTAAGACGAATAGGAATGAATATACACCCCCCATTTAAGCTTCTAGCTACGGCCTTGTCAATGCTTGCGCAGAGCGATATAACACAGGATGAGAAACACGAGTTACTTCATCGAATTTTATTTACTATACAGAACTGTTTCTTACTAGAAGCGTTTAGCTTGCCACACACATCTGCATGGTAAATAATATTATTTAACAGCTGGCTTTAAAAGGTCTGATCTTTTGATCATTTGATGACAAGGACATGGCAGTTCACTTAGCATCTTAGCTGCTTAAGTAAATGAACGATTAAAGTTTAATGCAAAAAGCGCGTCGTTTCTCAAGTATTTCCCAACGAAATAAGCATCTTTTACCTCTCCTCGGAGCACGCTTTATCCTAACTCCTCACGTATTTTCTTGATCCTTATTTATTTGGTTGTAAAGACGTAATTATGGTCGCGAAGATAATCTCTCGTTAAATATTCTGCGATTTGTAGCTATGTAGGCCTAATTTCTTTCGCCTCTTTCGTGTATACCGAAATGACCATGCAAAGCCAACTCGCTATATGATCATATTGAATATTTCACTGCATATATATATATATACACCCATTTGCAAAAACGTTGGCCGCAGATAGATAGATAGATAGATACTCGAAGTCTAATTAGAATTGCATATGATTACATTTGCATGGGATTTCAATCATATTACACAACATATGCAATTCTAATTAGATTTCGGGTATCTATCTATATATCTATCTGCGGCCAACGTTTTTGCAAACGGGTGTATATATATATATATATACACCCATTTGCAAAAACGTTGGCCGCAGATAGATAGATAGATAGATACTCGAAGTCTAATTAGAATTGCATATGATTACATTTGCATGGGATTTCAATCATATTACACAACATATGCAATTTTAATTAGCTTTCGAGTATCTATCTATATATCTATCTGCGGCCAACGTTTTTGCAAATGGGTGTATATATATATATATATATATATATATATATATATATAATATATATATATATATATATACCCAGTCCATGCACCTTCTTTATTATATTTAATTATTTGTATCGTTTGTGAGTTTACAATTTATGCAATTTTTTACAAAACCTTACGAACTTTTTCTACTTTTACTCTATACCTTATATGAACCCAAATTTGTTTGAAATAATAACAATAATTAAAATTTATACACTGCGAATTAACATGAAAACTATGAGCAAATGCGCTAACAAATTATTTGTAGTAATTTTATCCCAGGAGTATGCTAGACAGTACTGTTTCCCCTCCTATAACTTCAAATATTATAGTCTTCAATTTGCGTACCGTGCATGAAATTATATTGCTCTGAAGAGTACAGTACGTTCATGTTTCAAGAAGTAACTGGTATAGCAGACACCGCACAACCTTTTTACCGAACTTAAATCGCTTTTAAAAATTATGCGAGACGCGCTTTCATTAATTTTATTCCACAAGGACAAGGCGTCTTCAAAACTGTACTGCGCGTATACCACGTGTTTCATGCACCGATGTTTTGATTCATGCGGTCAACGGAAAGTTGGTTTTAATATTTCTCAATTGGAAGTTAATTTCCAGCAGTTTACGAAGCTACACATGGACCGTTTGTATGCAATAGCGTTTCTAACATGACTTTTATATTTTAAGCCGTCCTGCATGTAAATTTTAAAGTTTCCTGCAATCTTGAAGTTTACAAATTGTTATAAAATGCGGTTGGTGCATGCTATATTAATTACAATGTTACTATTAGTAAATGTACGATTATTCAAAATGATATAATTATATATGAAAATTATACGAGATGGGTTAATTAATGCAACGAACAATGAACAACGAAATGGCGGGTTACTGTGTTATATTTTACATCTGAGAACTGGAGGTTTCTTTAGAATAAACATTCAAATCGTCAACACAAAAATTATTCACCGACAATCGACATATTAGTTCGATATATCTAGCTATAAGGGTAAATAGATCTGTGCCAATTTTAAACCAACAATTTTGTCTGAAGAATTTTGTCGATGTTTCGCACGGCCAAAAATTTCCAGACATAACAGGGGCCGGCTGTTTAATAGCCGGTTAGCCTAGACAGGGGTTATAACGTAAATCACATGTCAAATATGTATAATTTTCCCAATCGTATGTTTATGAATGACAAAATAATATGTATGTTTTTCAATAAACTTTTTTCTGACACAAATGCAGTGCCCTTTCGGAAAGTTTTAAAAGGAACAGCGGCGTACGCACATAGAAACGAGGTCATGGTATAAAAAGTTAACAATAATCTAGGGAAAGCTCTAACCTAGCTTTGAACAACTGGCCCCGTGACTAAATTGTTAGTCCGCCTTCGTCATTGGCACATAGGAGTAGTTTGCACAGTGGCGAAGCCAGCCCGACAATTTACTGAATTTAGTCATGCTGTGCTAATATTTTAATGTTCATTGACTGTGGAAACAATGAATTTCCAAAGAAATGAATAATTATATAATAACATAAAATTGCATAACATGATAAATCGTCAGGCTGGCTACGCCACTGAATTTGCCTGCCTGTAGTAATTTTCATTTAGGTTCACTATCCATACAGTGACAAGCCTAAGTTCATCGTATATTTCCCAAGATATACATGCAAATTAACAGGACTCTCAGATCACCGTACGCAAGCAATCTATGTGAAAATTAAAGGTGGATTTCCACTCAAAGCGAAATCGTTCGCTGGCGAAAATTTGCATATTTTCTTTTGACTTTTAACAGCGAAAACAAATTAGTGCGACTTGACTGCATGTTTTCAATTCAAAAGGAATAAATTATGCAAATATTTCGCCAGCGAATGATTTCGCTGCAAGTGGAAATCCGCCTAAAGCCGGTTTTCCACTAGCGATATTTTTCGAGCAAATCGACAGTTTACTTTTGTTTCAGAGCTCTCATCTGCAACCATCTGGAACAAATTGCTCAAATACAAAGGAATAAAGTCGATTCGCGCGAAAAAGATCGCTAGTGGAAAACCGGCTTTAAAGCCATTTAAAGCCAGAGCTCTCAACTGCAACCACCTGGAACAAATTGCTTAAATACGAAGGAATAAAGTCGCTGCGCGCGAAAAATATCGCTAGTGGAAAACCGGCTTGAGAGCGAGTTGAAAGTTTATACGTCGGAAAAAATCTTTTCACTTTTGGCGGAATAAAATAATTTACATGAACTGTCTCAATCACTATATCTTTTGGCCGATTAAAATGATTTACATCAACTGTTTAAACATCACGATATTTTTGGCAGAATAAAATCATTTAGCTGCATGAACTGTTTAAATCATGTATCTTTTACGAGACTGAATAATTTACACAAATTGTTTAAATCGTATGTATATTTTTAGCAGACTAAAATAATTTAGCAACATGCATGCATGAACTGTTCAAATGATACAGAATTATATATATTTTGGCAGACTAAAATCATTTAGCTACACTTAGCTACATCGCTGAGCTCGAGCTCACTTTGATATATATATAGCTCTTGTAAAATTTGACGTGACTCTGACATTTTTACCACAATGACAATAATGACATAAGATAAAAACTAAAAATATTTGCACCTTCGATAAGTCTGTGATTTACGTCCCTCGGCGGAAGCACTATTATAGAATTGAGTAAAAAACAACATAATATATAATATTGAGTAAAAAACAACACCTTGCCGGTTTTAAGGGGGGACTAGGAGGGTAAATGCCAAAGCCGAGCTGCGAGACCACCACCAGCCTCATCATGCAGGCTAAACAGACCGTTTCGGCTTGCATGCAAATTAACCATGCATTTCAGATGTTGGAACCATGGAATAGCCAATAAAACTTAACCTTTTTAGATCATGTGATTTGAATAATAATTAACCGAAAAGGTTTAAAATTTATATTGGTGAGTTAAAAAGTTCGCTAAATATACGTGCATGTAAAACATGTTAATCAAATTTATTTTTTAATCAAGGATATCGTTTGGATAAATCTTCTTATGTTGAGATGCCTGTAATCAGCATATTGGACTGTGCTCATTTCTGTCTCGCGGAAAATGGTCTTTGTCGATCAATCAATTTCGAAAAGAAGCAAACGACAGATGGACATAATTGTCAGCTGAACAACTCGACGAAAGACAACAACGCAAAAAATTTCGTGCAATCGTCACTCTACAACTATTTTGAACCGAAGCAGGTATGTGCAGGGGCGAAATTAGAGCGGTCATTTGGAGAGGGGGTATTCATATAATTATTCAGTTCCGTCCCTGTAGAACTGAACATATGAACAAAAATCTCCCCAGTAATCGTTCTAGTTACGCTACTGGGTGTGTGGTTATTTCAGGACCATCCTCGGAGATGTTAAACAACAACTTTATATAATAATATAAGCTGACACTGAAGAGCCAATTTTCCATTGAAGTTCAGCATCTTCAGGTAGCTAGACCGCCGCGCTATACGGTTGAGCTTGTTAATCAACTAAGGAACGCTAGCGTTTTCGCTCCATTTTCTTTCTAAAGGCGGTCATCCACTTGGTGGAACATTTTGATGGTTGGGAGAATTGGACCGAAGCCGAATCGCAAAATCCATGCAAGATATTTAAAAAGAAAGTAAAGCGAAAAATTTTATTGGATCAAAAATTTCTGCTTACTGGAAAACTACTCTGACTTTTTACAAAAATATTTCGTGAACATGTAGCTATATAAATTGAATAGCACTTGATACTAAGATACTAGACCGCTTAACTGAGAGAAATGGTGCATGTATATTAATTCATACTGAAATATCATAAAAGCAATAGTGCAATGAAATCAGTCGGGCGTAAGAGGAATACATCGTGAACATGCATCCACAATTATCTTCTAGTTACGGCCTGATAACTTCTCATCGCCAACTATTTCGGACCCATTTTTCGGTTTGACAATTGATGACCAACTGATGAACGCGGACTTGCAATATAAACTCGCAAAAATGGAAATGAATACAGCGAATTAATAAAGTCAGCATATTTTCTACATTGACCTGGTTTCCCGAAATCAAATTAATATGATAAATTAGGTCCACGGTAATCACTATAATTTACTTTTTATGCTAAAGTATGGTTATTATATGCCATCAGTAGCGTAGCCAGCCTGTCGATTTGTCCCGCTATGCTAATATTTTGGTGTTCACTGACTGCAAAAACAATAGATTTCTAAAGACATGAATAATTATAATAACTCGAAATTTACATAGCGGGACAAAATCGTCAGGCTGGCTACGCCACTGTATGCCATGCATGTTCAACATATAGCGGATCTTAAAAGAACTCCGAAACCTATATATTACGTTTTATCATCAATTTTTCTTATCTTGCTTACTTCTTCAAATATCTAGGCTGGAATTAACGAGTTGTCCGCCATCTTGTCTTATAATTAGATCTAATTAAATGACGTCACATCCTTTAATACGAAAAGAATGCTCTTGTATAGCAGTAAATTAAAAACATTATGATGAACTAGCATTTAAAATGATATACAAGGCACGAGAAAAGCTCAATAAAATCAAAGATCTAGATTTACAGTAGCGTAGCCAGCCTGTCGATTTTTCCCGCTATGCTAATATTTTGGTGTTTACTGACTGTGAAAACAATACATTTCTAAAGACATGAATAATTATAATAACTCGAAATTTACATGCATAGCGGGACAAAATCGTCAGGCTGGCTACGCCACTGAAGATTTACCCTGTTCGTGACGCCATGCACGACCTAAGATGTATGCATATCCAAGATGGCAGAATGTACCATTATTATTGCTCGGAATGAGCGGAATATTCTATCAACGAAAAACGATAAAGCAAATCTGTAAAAGGATTTAAAATAAGACAAAGTAACCGAAACAATGCAAATTAAGGTTGGGCTTACACGAATTTGCTCTTGGTTGAACAATAACACACAAAGAACCATAAAAATCGAATAACGTATCATAAACACTGCTCACTATTGTTACAAAAAGCCAATCACAATTCCATCATACTAGATATAAATATTTTCTAGCAAATTCGCGGTATTCTCGCTTGACAACAGGCATATTTTTCTTATTTTATTCGAAAGATATATTTAAACGCTGCAGGAATAGTTGGCAATGGTTTAACTGAATCGACAAGAAAGATAGAAATAATGTAAAGATACACACTGCCATATTTTCATCTCAGTTCCCTCACTTAAAATCGATAATTACGGTTTTCTTATGACATTTTCTCGATTCCAGGCCATGTTGAACGGTAAGCCAGTTGGAATGGAGGAGATCGAAAAGATCAGAAACGGAGAATTATAAAAATGCTATAGCCTAAGAATAAACCTTGTATAGGTAGGACGATGCTGGCACTACAGCTGATAAGACCAAGACATTAGAAAATTATGCCTTCCTGCGTTCTTTGAGCAAAAATTACTTTGTAGAACCAAAAACCTGAATAAAGAAAAATATTCATGTGTTGTACTCTTGCTTTCTTAAGTTTTATTTTCGATCAATGCTTGTTCAACGTTTGTCTTCTAAAAGAGTTCAACTTACCGACCTTAATTATTCCATTATTTTGTTAAAAGTTGTCGCAGGAATTCGGTAAATACTGAGGGAGAAAAAAATGACTCCCGTTAAAAATTACGCTTTTCACGTTTCTCTTCTATTGAGGTGAGATTTACCCACCATTTAAAAGGGGGAAAAATAGTTTTAGGGAACCCCGCTGTTGAGCGAAAAACGAGCAGTAATGGAGTGGAGCAGATCACCATGGGCGTCAATTGAAGGTTATATGAAGGGGACCATATTCGTATATCTGTTATGCCAGGCTGACTTCTATTTGTATCTATTGGTGTAATATTGGTGGAATATTTAGCAATTTCGTATCGCCAACGTCGTTCGCTTCGCCGTGTTGTCGTCTCCATCCCTACCGAAGTGCAGCGGGCAAAATTAGCTAAGTTACTATAGTCGCAGTATTTCACAGACCTTCGCTCAGCTTTGCTGGGCTTGTCTGAGAATTTTAATGAAAGTTGAATTGTTTTCAAGAGAAATTAGCCAGGTACTGTATAGCAGAATATAGAACGATGCAGCTCGCGGTCACGTGAAGCTTCGGAACTGTTCTGATTACCCCTACTTCCGTTATATAACTTATTCATGCAGATATACAGGGTGTATAAAAAAAAGGAGACCTTTAGAAATCAAGCTATTGTTAAAATTTGAATGCCATTTCAATTGCATTTGCACATATGCTGAACCGTAGTGCGTTAAATATTGATGGTATGCATGCATACATTAGAAAATGAATTGACGTTTGTACACAAGATTGTCTGCTCCTGGGAATTTGAAAATAACTTTAATAGCATAAGGAAAAATAGCGACCCAAAAATATTCAAATGACTAAGCACACTACCAGAACAAAAATGGTTCAACTGACTTCGGAGCAAAGAGTTTTTGTAGTCTTAACTTATACCCAGCCTGCCGTCATCAGAAAAGCAGTTCGCGATATGCACAAGCGTACGGTAGTTTGTGTTGAGAGAAATGGAGGCCACGTTGGAGGTCATGGTCCATGACATTCAGTTCTTTTGATGTTCAATTTATCAGTAATTTTCAATCTGGATCGAAATGTCAAGTGAATCTGTGTCAGATCAAGTTGTAATTCATTCCTGACTCATGTAAACATTTTAATAGGCAGATTTCGTAAAATGGGATGCTGAGCCATTCCGGATTCAAAGTCAATTCTAACTCATGTGAACAGCCCTAATGCTCGCACGCAGTGTTAAAAATTATTGAACAAATGATTTGTTCATGTTTTAAAGGAACAGCTAAAGCAATTTACCATGCACGCATACTGTTATCGCTTTTGTGCTTAGTCGTTTGTGCTTAGTCATTTGAATATTTTTGGGTCGTTATTTTTCCTTATGCTATTAAAGTTATTTTCAAATTCCCAGGAGCAGACAATCTTGTGTACAAACGTCAATTCATTTTCTAAAGGTCTTCTTTTTCTAATGTATGCATGCATGCCATCAATATTTCACGCACTACGGTTTAGCATATGTGCAAATGCAATTGAAAAAGCATTCAAATTTTAACAATAGCTTGATTTCTAAAGGTCTCCTTTTTTTTGATACACCCTGTATAGCGTGGGAATAGTAGCGTACAACAGAAATCAGTCGGGCATAAGACGAATATATGAAAAGCACCCCTTAGATAGAGATTATGTACAACGCCTTTATTGGCTTTGCGCTAAAAGTTCATATCATGCATGGACATGAGTATCAGCATCTATTAACGTAAGTTGCCACCGTTTGTTCGTTTTCAATCACGGAGCGTTCAATAATTATAAGGAGAAACGCTGAGAAACAATTATAAAATTGTAAAATTATAAAAATTGGTTCTACTTTGGCAACCGGGCCAGCCCGCTTGCATGTTTATATGAAAACATTTTCATCCGCTAAGCGAGATGTCGCTTCTTTCGAGCGGCATCTTGCCGGCCAAGCGGGTCGGTCGTAAACCCACATAAAACCACGTTGTCCATGTAAACCCACAAAAATTTTTATTAGGAAATGTATTCATGGGGAAATCTCGCTAGCTTGGCTGTCCCGCTAAGCGGGCCGGCTTTCGCTTTCGGCATCGCGCCCAAAAGCAAAAACAGCACGTCTTTTTCTTAATATCCATGCATGCACCAAAATGATGTATTAAAAATAGCGTAAACATTGCAAGGGGGAGAATTGAAAGATATGTCAAATTGATCGACTTAACCCGTTCTATAGCTAAGGTTATTTTGAATGTCGACAGCTATAATATTTCATTTATAATTCAACCGTCATCAGTATCCTTTTTAACGAGGATGATTTCTTCCGCCGAGTGTTAATATTGAGCGGACATTAAAAACTTGGGCTTGACATTTGACAGTTAATTCTGGCGAAAAATGATTGTCGATCATCTCGCTCACAGAATTGTAGGTATAAAAGCACGAGTGTCAGATCCTTTTAATTTCTGGGCATGCAAATTTTTAGGCCTACAGTTTTTTTGCCATAACCAGAGATAAACTCCTGTCAACAAGCGGTTTAGCATAGATTTCTAAATGAAAGGGAATTAATCTGAGCATGCATGAATTGAAATTTTCCACGTACCGCATGAGAGAAAACAGGGAGTTTACGATTCACGACACGCGAGATTTATACCCTTTCTTTGAAGGGAACCCGAATGGGAGCAATTCAGCGGAGAGTGGCATGTGCGAAACATGCTAGCGGAAAGGATTAATTCAGGGGTTCCATATTCGAATACGATTTAAATCGCGCTGTCATCATGACACCGACACTCATTCAAATCAAATTGACGTTACCTATGCGCTCCTTATGCTTGGTGTTTTTAGCTTGTATACAGCTCACCCAAGCATTGCCAGTTGACGATGCTTTCGCTCACTACCGGAGGGGTCGCCGTTAGTTGCGCTTTTTTCGTGTTTCATTTACGTGTAGCAACGATTGCGGAATACATGCCTTTATTCAGGGAACAAATAGGATACAGAACAACTTATGTCGGTATGGTCCCTGTGCTTGGTTTCGTCACTCAAGTGATAGGAATACATACTGATAACAGGATATTTGTCTGAAAAATTTTGCACGAGGAAGCAGTTGCTGTTAATATGTTTCCTTTTGTCGATTCCTAGCACTTTGCTCATTTCTTGCACCGAAAGCGCCTGATTTAATCAGCGAAGAATCATCGAGAGAATCGTTCGGAAAATCAGTATTGTTCATAGTTCTAAAATGAACGCATCACCAGCGACACGTTATGCTGGTTTCGGGGACAGCGAGAAGAAAAACAACGGCAATATAGTAAAATTCTTTTTCATTATACTTTTCTTGCGTGGTTTTGTGGTTTGACTTTCGGTAACAATCTTAATTATTACTGCTGCCACTGTGACACATGTTAAGCACGACAAATCAAGGTTTGGATTCTACGAATTTTGGGGTGAAATCGCCGCCGGAATTTCGCTCTTCGTCGTTGGATGATTGGCAGACCACAAACCCTATTCAGTTTGCGGCAAATAAGTCTCCAAGTTATTATACGTTGTGTTTTTCAACGAGGCTGCTGTACAGTGTATGACTTTAATTGCGTTGCTTTGGTTGGAATACGAGTATCTTAATTGAGAAACTGGTCGTGTATTATGATGAAATCAAGTCAGTCATGTTGAATCCTCATTGTATTATTGTCCTGTTCATTTGCACGCATGCAGGTTTCTGTACTGCGTTTCAATTGCGTTGAGAATTTTGGTACATGCGACACTTGGGCGGCAGGCTGGTTGTAATGGCCGTTAGAGGTTTACTCAGGCGGCTTCTAGTCGGTGTTTGGTACATCATATCCCATATTATCATTGGAAAACTTGGTGAATTGTATGTTGTAGCAAAATTCACTCTTTCTATTTGCCGTCTCGTTTGGAGGTCTAGCGTTCACTGAAAATGCCTGGCCAGTGATACTCATCGATAGTTTTCAGTCTGTTTCGTTTGTCCTGACGCATGCGTCTTTCGTGATTCACTTTTCACAGGCAGGATCGAAGGCGGAAAGACATGACGCATGCCCCTTTCAGAATCAAAGGCGTCGTCTGCTTGCTTTTTTTTCATGGCAAGCCGAGTAATATTAATGTCGATTTTTATACACCACGGTGTTAGCAAAAATTGCAAGTTTATGATTTTTTTTTAAGCTGAGGTAAATTTTACCAGCGATTTTTATACACCATGGTGTTTGCATTAATTACATGTTGATGCAAAATTAATATTCTTATTTTGGAGGAGAAAATTTATCGATATGCAAATTAATTTCAATGTTGTTATTTTTGGGTATAATTGAGTGCTGAACAGAGGTCGGCTTATGCCGGTGTCTTAGCGGATAATGTTCCCCGCGGAAAGTGTCACCCCGAACACTATCCACTAACGGATGATGCCCGGGGAGACATGATGACGCATACCTCTTTGGTGATTCACTTTTCGAAATCAGGATCATCGTCCGCATTTTCCCAAGGTGAGCTGAATTCTACAGGCAATTTTTATACACAACGGTGTTTGCAAAAATTCGACTTTTATGCAAATTTAATGTTGGTATTTTAGGGGAAAAATTGATATGCATATTAAATGTTATTATTTTCGAAAAAAAATTTAGTCTTGAACGGATGTTAGCTTATGCGCATGCCGGCGAACAGAGAGCAACAATTTAAGACAATTGCGGAATTATCCGTGTTCCATGTAAACATGAATATATAGCCCCTGCGCAATGAGGCGATACAGATATTTTGACCTCGAATTTAATCTATATAGTCCAATCAAAAACCTTTGCAGAGCTGAATAAGCGATTTAAATCATGAGAATACTTGCATTCTCGCGATTTTCTGGCGCATTTGCCCATGTTATACACGGGTTGTTGCAATGGTTTATGTCGACCCTTTATTTGTTACTGCCATATTAGAAAATATCTTATACTATAGCGTTGCTAGCCCTCGTTGACGTCACGAAATAATAGTTAAAAAGGTATAGGCAACGAAAATTTAGTTCCAACAAAAAACGCGACAGTGGAAAGCAGCCCTTGGCGCTTTGACCATATCATGATCATGTCCTTAATAATGTCATATTTGGAAATCTGTCCTCCGTACGGCAGATCGCTCAAACAACCCTCATCAAGCTTGAAGAATTGTGTTGATGGGTCTAAAATTTTTTCACGTTGATCAAATTACGATTTCCGAATACATAGCTACAAGCCCTGTTACATCTAAAAAGTAGAGTCGCATTGCATGTTTCAAGAAATAATATTCCGCGTAACAGGGCGTAAACAAGCCGTTAAAGTTTTTCAATGTCATATTCTTTTGTAAGGAAAATATACTTATTTTAATTTTGTTACGTGACAATTAATTTTAAACATGAAAATGCATTCTTCTTTTCTTTCTTTTTTTCCTTTGTTTAAGTTTACGTCAAAACAAAAACGCGATTGTAACAGATTCTTTATTGTTTCAAGTTACATCGTGAACAACATTGTAAAAAAACAATTGAAATACAGCGTAAACGAGTACTGTAGGGTTACTTGGTGCACACAGCGCATGTCAGTTCCTTCCCTTGTGCGTAAGGCAAACATGGCAGAGAACCGCAGTGACTCTCAACGACATACAACAACCCCCCGTTCAAGTTATTCTGAGTTCCTGGAACAGCCTCAGCATCAGAATCAACACAAATGAATTGTGTTCGTTTATGACTGATGTGATCGGACATTAAATAACCTTTGTACTCAAGATTCCACCCAGATGGACAGACGTTACGTGCAGGTATCATAAGCTGGCTGCCACGATTCTCAGCTTCACAAACAGCGCACGTAGCTTCGTGATCATGAAGGTTGGTTGAAAAAAGAGACGCATGTGCATTCATTTCGTATTCTACACCATAAATGTAAGAATAACCTTGGTTGCCCGCTTTTACTTTATCGTAGATTGGATCAAGAGGCATGCAGAGATAGTTTGAGCCACCACCGTTATGAGTATAGTGAGATCCACCCATGACACCTGTGCACACAAATTTTTGTTTTAAAACATAAGGCAAAAAATTTCAAGCTTGAGTAATTGCACAAACGTTACACAGGCAATTGCGTCTATTCTAGAGAATAATTATTATGAACATATTTTGAAGATAGCGGATATTTTCGAAGATCTAACCCCAAAAGGCAAGACTGCGTTATATAATGACTGCTACTGCTTGCGCGTATATAAAGGCCCGTTTACACGTGTAATTTATGCTGCTATTTTATGTAGAAATTTCTTTTTCACATCGATGAAAACGAGTAACAAGTTACGTGCTCCTATGTAATGAGGAGTAATGAGCTCCTATTTGAACATCCGTACCTAATTCACTCGTTCATATCTATCGTAGCAAAAATTCAGGCGAAGAAAATCGTAGATAAAAACGCAGTATAAGAATTGCAAGTTTAAAAAGGCCTTATTAATGCTCCTGTTGCCTGAATTTGTACCTGAATATACAAGAGTTGCTCCACTTGGGCATGTCTTTTTTCCCCATCTTGTGTACACTGTGCCTCCACTATTGCCTGGTGGGCCCGGAGCACCACGACTTCCAGGAGAACCTGTTGCGCCAGGTGGGCCTATAGAATTATGCAAGGTAACTCGATTACTCTTAACATACACCATTCGACTTTTTATCATTTTTTAGCGATAGTTTTTTCGTCAAGTAAATGCATTTATCAATGTTTTATGGTGAAAATTGAATACAACCGCTGATGTGTCTTTAGGTGAACTTATTTCCTTTGAGACAATTGATGAACCAATAAGTCGTTTTTGTTTTCAAAGTGTTTCTCCTTTTTTGGGTATTATGACTTTGATTAATGAGCAGACAATTCGAAAAAGGTTATATGCATGGAATTTAGTAAAGTAACTGAGAGCTTGGGTCTTTTTCAAACGAGCTAATTACAAAGCTGCCAATGATTTTATCTTCAAAGTTCTTCAAATCGATACCCAGCGCGATATTCTTCTTAATCGCTTTGAACATCAGGTATATAATATCAAGCAGACTTAAGGCACATGTAAGCTAGCTCTTGTTACCGAACGCTTGCCAGCCTTACCTTTTAGAACGACAGTGAATACTATTGATACATTAATACAGGTCTAACATGTAACCATAATAAAAAAATGAATAACCAATAGTAGTGTGTAGCTTAATATTTCGAAATTTGGAATTTGGTCGTGATAATTTATTCTAAATCACCCTGAATCCGCAATTGAATGGAACGTTATAAATTGGAAATTCGATAAAACTAATTTCTGGTATTATTCAACTGATTACGATTCTTCAGTTGCTTGAGCGTTCCAACATTCCCAGAATGCTTTTGAAATATATCTTTCCACGCGTTCAGGAACATTCATCACGTCTTCAGCTCTATTCCAAAGAAATACTCTAACCTTACACTAACGCTCTCCGCGACTCGTCCAAGCTCAGATGAAATTTATTTTTGGTGCAAAGTCGTACAAGACTCGGAGTCCAGTTAAATCCGGGTCTCGTGAGGGCGCCGAATAACCAACCGCTCAATCCGCGCCTGGCCACAACGAATAACACATGCGGATCTTCAAATTAACGCCAAATCATAATTACGCACAACCTACTCTATGTAAAGCACTGAAAGAAGACTGTTGCAAACCAGTCTTAAATTCTAAAACCTTAAATTCTAAAATTTGATTTGCTAAAAACGCGGAAATTTACCGTACCTGCAATTATGCTGTCACGCCCATCACGCCCTATAAGAAATAGAGTTGCACGAGTTTAAAATCATAAATCGAGACTTGGAATCTATTGCGAAAGGCCCCATTTTTTTAATTAAAAAAAACCGGAAATTGCTAAAAAATACCTCTTCATACATCTAGCAAAGCATTAAAACAAAGCCCGTAGTAGTGCTGCTATTATTAAGATGCTTACCGCACTAACCTTAACATTTGTATGTGTGTATTTGTATGTTTGTATTTAATTTCTTTTGAGACGCTATTCTCATGAGCTATATATGGCTGGTTTTATTGAGGGGCGTCTATTTAGCTATTTACATGTTATAAAAATGAAGAAAAACTAATTCATTCAAAACCAAAACGAATATTATCCAGAACATAAAGATTATATAGTTACAAATTATTAAATAGCAATTAAAGACGGAATTCAAATTTAGTAAGGCTTTTGAAACACGGCAAATCGAATGAGCATGCAGACTTCAGCAGAAAGGCTATTCCACAGTACAACTGCAAGCACCATATCTAAAGCTTCTTTTAAGAGATTCTTTCTAAGGTTTTAGAAGTGAGAGATTTGTATCAGCTTCGAAGGTGATATAATCATTTTCATGATTGCTTCGTGCAGAAAAGAATTCTCGAAGACCAGGGGTCGTACCATTATTATGGATGTTGTATAACAGAACCGCATTATTAAATCTAAATAAAGCCTTTCCAATTAAGCCGCTCAAGGAGCTCAGAGGATGTGGTATAATAACTCACTCCCATCAGCACCCATGCAGCTCTGTTTTGGAATCTCGATAATTTTTAATTTAAAGCAATTCCACAGTTATCCCACAAAGGGGAGCAATAATTATTAGGGTCCCCTTACTCAACAAGTATTTTTTAAGCACGTACCGTCTCGCCCTGGTAAGCCACGTTCACAACCCCCGTTTGTAGGAAGATCGTTTTCATCATTTTGCCTGTCTCAAGGAAATAATCGTATGATTGATCGCTCAGACTTTTTGAACCTCGACAGCTATGATACTTGTTTCATTTAAATCAACCAAAATTTAATAAAGAAAAAAAGATCATATCTTCTGCGGAGTGAGGATATAATATTGAGTTGGGCATTATAAAGGGTTTGATATTACAAAGGTGATTTCGGCGGGAAATAACTGTCGTTCAAAGTGTCATCATATTGTAATATTGCTTTCAGTGCTTTGATAACAGTAATATTCTCCCTCCATCCCGAGTATAGCTAGACTTATAGAATTAGGTCAAGTGTAGTAGGTAAGTATATAAAATTGCGAGTGTTTCACTTCTAGACACGCAAATTTATCAGGCTTAACTTTGCCACTCCCGGCGATGGCCTCCTACGAACAAGCAGTCAGTTGGCATGAATAACAGTTTTCCATGCACAACCTGAGCAAAAATAGGGAGTTTACGATTTACGACGCGGGCAGCTAGACGACGCGATGGCAAAACAAAGAAACACGGCACTGACGCTTGCAACACAAAAGCTAATATGCGTAACTTCCTATGACATTCCTACAAAGGCTTAAAATTTTTACGTCTTCTGAACGATATGAAAGTAGCTAAACGTGGGAATTGTTTTATAGTGTATATGGGACGGCATTATCAGCTAGATATCAAAGGTTATTAGCACAATTGAGACGTTTGTTTAATAATTCAAAAGTTCTGACAGCATAGATAGAGTTCTCTCGTAGCTAATTTGAAGCAAAATATGTGGTAGTGAACGTAAATCGTGAAGGTAACTCTCTGCCTGTAATAATATCAAAGATATAAAGCAACAAGGCGTTTGTCCCGGATACCTTATCTGGATGAGGTGATTCATCATTAAATTAGAATTATATTTTGAATTTGTCATTAAATTTGATTTGACTCACCCTGCTTTCACGGCGCTTTCAGCTAATATACAGCTCACATGGACGTGGAAAGCTATCACTAGAATTGCAAAGAACGATATCGGACCAACCATTCTGATAACAACAATTATAGTGTGTCAGTGCAGACTCAAATAGTTTGCTGAACCTTCGTTCCCGTTGCCTGTCTGATATGACAGTGTTTCGTTCCCCTGGTCCGGCTGATCGTAAACAAATTAATTACCATCATTAACCTTAAGAGCCAAATACAATTAAGCCCTCGAGTATTCGCTGCTCTACTAGGTTCTCTTTCAACATTTCGACAAGTTCAAATCACGGCAGAGATTCGTTGTTCTCGGCAGTTCCCTTTGTTAACCCACATCAGCATAATAATTAGCTATGTCCAAAAGGCAGGTCCTTGTAATTCAAATTATACATCATTATAACTTTATTGTACAAGCTCACTGGCGCGACAAAAATGATCCTCGCTAGATAAAATAAGGGATTTCGTTTTCAACATTTAGATGATCGATGACGATGGATTAATAACGGAAACTGCCCGCAATCTTAATTTTGTCATTCGTGCCAAAATTGGCGATTTTATTATTAATGGCTCTTCCTTTTCGAATCCAAACCGGCAAACTTATTTCCACTAACCTTAGTTAGAAGTCAATTACCCCTACTAAAAGGATGAGAGTTTCTGATCTCACGAGAATACCTTGATTTGACATTGTAGCTATTTCAGTTTGGCGAAAAATAATATTATAATTGTTGTTATATATTATTGTTGTTATATATATCGACGTATTATAATTGTTGTTATCAAATGTCAAAAAAAACCACTCTATTTTGTACAATGTGAGTGCAACTTTCAAGAATTGAAGTTTTCGCCGTCAACATTTGAAGTTTATGCTCCAGGCTAAGATAATGGTTTATTGCATGCCCGTGGATAATACGGCAAATCCGGACTTGTCAGCAACTAATATTACTTGGCAGAATTAACCAAAACAAAAACTTGCTCTACAGGGTGTCCCAAAAAAAACGAAAACTTTTGAAATCACTCATTGTTAAAATTTGAATGCCGTGTTCACGAATTTCAGCCCGTGAGGATTTAATGCAACTTATAAAATGCTAAATGCTTTGTGTTAGAGAAAGGGGACATGTCGAAGGTCATGGTCCTTGAGATGCACATTTAAATATTGCTATCCATATTTGTAAATTGTAAATATTGCAGGATAGTAAATATCATTTTTGCGAACAAGCAAATTTGACTGCATCATATGCATGTATAAAAATGCTTATGGCAACCCCGATTTATACACTTTTGGGCCCAACAGAGTGCTTAGGCATTCAAACTCTAACAATGGCATTGTTATGGGTGATTTCAGTAGTTTTCGTTTTTTTGGGGACACCCTGTATAATAAAAATTAATGCATGCCTGTAATTGCTTGTGTAATATTGCTTGTTTCTTACGCTTTTTCTATGTATCTTTCTATATCCCTTACATAACTAGATCTCCCTCAATTAATGTCAATCAATCCCCTAATCAATATCAAGTCTATATTTAGCTATTACTGTCCGTGTCTATATATATATATACATTACATCTCTCCCTTTGTTTAATGAATTATCAAGTTTGGGTTTATTGCATTTCCAAAAAGTTCTCTCTGTCTACGCTGCCTTGTTGACCTTCTCACCACTGGTTCTGGCGTTGGTTCGTCCGCTGCTCGTTCGATGAGTGCATTTCCTGTCGGTGCGTTCCAATCATCTTCATCTTCGGATTCCTTTGCGGCGTCTGGTATCTTCTTAAAGAACGATACATTTCTTGTCACCTTATGTCTTTGGTTTTCAGCTACTATTGTCACTCCTTTACGTTCAAGCACCGTGTAAGGAGATTTGTTCGAACTTGGTTGTAAATTTGTTTTTCTTTTTCTGTCTAAGAATGACTGTGTCTCCCACTTGTATCTCTGACGGCGCCACTCTCCTTCGTTTGTTTGCGTATTCTCTCCCTTTGTCTGTTTAGTACTTTAGCTTTTGGGTTCAACATGGGTAAGACTCCTCTGACAGGCCGATTAAAGAGAAGCTGAGCGGGCGGTATGTTGGTAGAACAATGGGGTGTGGTGCGATAGCTTAACAGGAACCTCGAAAGTTCTTGGACCCAGTTACGATGTTCTGAACGAGCGGTCTTGATTGCTTTTGCCAAAGGTTTCATAAAAGCTTCTGCTTCTGAGTTACCTTGTGGCCATTCAGGTGTTGATGTCTCATGTTCTACGCCAATCTTTGTTAAATAATCTTTGAATTCTTTACTATTGAAAGGAGGACCGTTATCCGTCTTTATTTTCAGTGGAATTCCATGTCGCGCGAAGATAGCATCGGTTTTTGGTATAAGTGCTTTAGCAGATGTACTTGTGATGATTTCAGCCTCCGGGTATCTTGAATATTTATCAATTAACACTATGATATACTGTCCGGTGGGAAGCGGGCCGTAGAAATCTGCATGTACAGTTTGCCAAGGACCGTCCGGCGTTTCTGGAGTTAGTAAAGGCTGGGGTGGATCGGTTGGACCATTAATTTGGCACGGAAAGCAGGTATCGATCTCTTCTTTTACAGCTTTATCAATGTTAGGGAACCAGGCATACTGACGTAACAAGGCTTTTGTTTTGACAAGTCCTTGATGACCGCTGTGGGCAAGTTTTACTATCTTCGCTTGTAGAGTTGATGGTATTATAATACGTGTTCCTCGGAGGATTACACCATTTGTATGGTCCACTGTTATTTCATCTTTGATGTTTATGAATGGCTTTACATGACTGCTGCCCCAGTTACCAGACTTAACTGCTTCTCTTACTGCATTGAGACTGGGATCCTTTTCCGTATGTTCCTTGATAACTTGTATTGGAATTGTGGTTTGCGCGGCATTAGTCGAGATGAAGTTTATGTATTCTTCAGCAAGGTTGTGTTTTGGTATCTTCGATTGCGGATGTCGTGACAGGAAATCTGCTGGGTTAACACTGCCTGGTTTGTAGATAACATTGAAATGGTATTGCTGAAGTCTTAGAAACCAACGTTCTATTCTAGCTGGAGGTTTGGACCGAGGATTGTTGTAGATCAACTGTAATGGCTTGTGATCAGTAATTAGGTTGAAAGGTGCACCGAACAGGTAAAGGTGAAAATGTTCAATGCCCCACACGATCGCGAGAGCTTCCCTCTCGGTTTGTGAGTACCGTTGTTCTACTGGGGATAATGCTCGGCTGGCATAAGCGATAGTGTTGTCTTCGTTTGTTTTTGGATCCTTTTGCGTCAATATGGCAGATAAACCAACGGGACTTGCATCCACCAGGACTGAGGTTTCTTTGGATGTATCGAAATGGCTCATAACTGGACTGTTAGTCAAAGCACTCTTTAGGTCTTCATATGCTTTCTGGTGTATTGTCGTCCATGTAAAACGAGCGTTTTTTTGGGTCAATTTTCTGAGTGGCTCTGTAATGGTCGCGTAGTTTTTGATGAACTTAGCACTGTAGTTAGCCATTCCTAATAGACTTCACTTCACGACTGTTGTTGGTGGTTTTGTATTGGCGAAAGCGTCCACTTTCTTGGGGTCTGGGCTAACACCTTTTTCTGTGAATACCAGTCCAAAGAATTCAAGATTCTTTTTGAGGAATTTGCACTTTTGTAGATTGAGAGTCAGGTTACTCTCTTGCAGACGTGTAAGTACTTCTTCTAATGCTTGGTCATGTTCCTGTCGAGTATTTCCAAACACGATGATGTCATCTGCGATGTTTTTAGCTCCTTGAATTCCTTGTAATGTCTCCTGTAGGGTGTGTTGGAAGAGTTCCGCTGCAGCATTTGTGCCGTAGTTTAATCTTTTATAGCGATATAAACCGAGATGAGTGGAGAAAGTTGTTATTCCCCGAGATGCTGGGTTCAGCTCCAGTTGATGGTAGGCTTGAGTTAGGTCAAGTTTTGAGAAAAACCGAGCTCCGTTAAGCTCAATAGAGACAGCTTCTACAGTGGGTATGGGATGTCTAGTTCTCTGAATAGCTGTATTTGCTACTCGCATATCTACGCACAATCGAATCTTATCGTCACGCTTTGGGACGACGACGACTGGGGAAACCCACTCCGTTGAAATTCCTTCGGGTATTCTCTCAATGATGTCATCCTGTTCTAATCTGCGTATTTCATCTTCAATTTTTCCGCGTAAATGGAACGGTGCTCGGCGCTGCGGTTGTGCAACTGGTGAAACGGTTTCATCGATAACTAATTCGATTTGTTTGTTCTTTAGTTTCCCAAGTCCACAGAACACAGGGCCATGTTTATCTAGGATGCGTGCGAGGTTTTTATCGCTCGTTGTTGGTGTGATTTTTGAACGTTCTGTTTCCTTGTTTATCTGATTTAAATGGAGACTTACGAGTCCAAGTTCTTGTGCAGTTTCAGAACTAAGTAAACAACCGCCGTCGTCAGAAGTAACAAATATGGTAGCTACCGTGAATTTGTGTTTCGACTCTGCTAAAACGCGGAATTTTCCTTCCATCTTCACAGGTGTTGTGGAATTGAAGGGATATGCTTTCACGGATGTTGGCTGAAGTCGGATATCTCGCAGTTGTTGGAACGTGTGTTTATCGATTACATTTATGCTTGACCCCGTATCAATGGTCATTTTTACTCTTTGTCCATTGAGAGCAATTGACGCTTGCGGGTGTTTTTGTTTGTTGTTGACCGCGTAACAATATTCTGGACCACTACTGTCGCTGCTAGTGTTGTCCTGGAGGTCTGTGTTAACTGGTCGTAGGTCTTCGCGTGGTTTACCAGTTTGTCTATTTTCTCTCTTGTTGCTACTGCGGCACTGGCTAGCAAAATGGTTTAGTTTACCACAATTCGCACATGTCTTGTTTTTGGCAGGGCACGGTTTGTTGGTGTGAGGTTAGCTGCCACCACAGTAAAAACATGTCTTATTGGATGTCTTGTGTTTTGTTTCTTTCGCGGTTGGCGTTTTAACTGCTTGAATATTGCAGCTGTCTAAATGTCCTTCAATGTCAGCTGCATGCGTCTTGCTTATTTCTTCCCGCCTGGCTGCGAGCAAAAGATCTTTTAAAACATACTTGGGGTCTCGCAACGCTTGTTTACGCACGCGACTTGACTTTCCTCCAATAACAATTTGTACCATAATTTCGAACTCTACATCTGAAAACTCACAGTTTTTTGACAGTGTTCGTAGACGCGTGTGGTATTGATCTATCGTTTCCGTGTCGCTCTGTTTTGCTTGTCGAAATTTGTAGACTTCGTATAATCGATTTTTTTGAGGCTCGAAGTATTCGGTGAGAAGTTCCGTCGCTTTATCGAAGTCGTCGTCGTTACCAGGGTCTGGAAAGTGTCGAAAGATTTCCCGTACTCGCGGTCCTGCTTGGTATAAAAGTAATGCTCGTTGGCGTGTCTTGTTTGTAATGTTGCTCGCCGTTAGAAATGTTTTGAAATCTGCCAACCAAGTACGCCATTTAGCCGCTATATTTCCTCCTGCGTCAGCATCAGGGTCAAACGGTGGCATAGGCGCGAGATATGTCGCCATTATAATATGTTTTAATCACTTGTTTTAGTCTTCGTCGCCAATGTAATATTGCTTGTTTCTTACGCTTTTTCTATGTATCTTTCTATATCCCTTACATAACTAGATCTCCCTCAATTAATGTCAATCAATCCCCTAATCAATATCAAGTCTATATTTAGCTATTACTGTCCGTGTCTATATATATATATACATTACAGCTTGAATGTATAATTATATAATGCGCATGTTGCACGAATTTTTAACTGAATAATTATATATGCATGAGATTTACTCCACTTGGACATGTCTTTTAATTTCCCTTTCTTGTGTACACTCAGCTTCTACCACTGCTTGGTGGCTCCTGAACACAACGAATTTCAGGAAGACCCCTTCACCCAGGTGGGCCAATAAATAAATATAATAAATTATGAAAAGTTATTCGCTTTAATCAATAACCAGGGGCGTAGCCAGCCTGACGATTTAGTCATGCTATCCAAATTTCTGTTATTATCATTATTCATTTCTTTACAAATTCATTGTTTTCACTGTCAATGAACACCAAAATATTAGCATAGCATGACTAAATTGTCCGGCTGGCTACGCCACTGTCAATAACCAATGGTTGTCATCCCAGTGCTGCTGCTTTTTAAGGAGTCTGATTCGCTGCAACCTGCCTGTTTATGTGAGGCATTCCTTTCTGACATCCGTAGAACCTTCAATTTATTTGCCGTATTCTGGAATTTTTCCGTCCGAAAATGAAAATAATGGAATGAATGTGTACACGCAGGGTAACTCAGAATAAATAGATCGTATAACGATCTCTACAAAAATATGAAATAGAACGCAGCTGTTCCTTAAGACCTTGTAGAAAAACTTCATTTCTTACACGCGTAATTTAGGTCAGGATTTTTTCATTGAGTTTGAGATGAGAAGACTCACTCACTTTCCATGGCGCCTACATCTATGGGCTGCTTTTCACTGTCACCTTTTTTGTACGTATATATAGCCGATGTAGAGGCACTGACTTAAAAGATCATTTAAGTAATACTGATCGGAAATCAACGATTTGATAGATGCGTTGGGCTTGGTTCTGTTTGTGATTCAGTTTGTTCTTTGTTGATTACAAGGTTTTAATCTAGCACGTGCATGCGTGTAGGTACGTGCAAAAAGCGACAGTGGAAAGCAGCCTTAAGCTGTATGTAGCTCGCGTGGATGTGGCATAATGTCACTAGAATTACGAGGTACGTTTTCGGACCAGCCTGCCATTCTTGAAAAAACTATTATAGTTTTGCGAGTACAGACGCAGGCATAAAATGACAGTATTTATTTCCCCTGGTCGCGTTCTTAGTGAAAAACCGGAACAGGCTCGGAAACCGGAAAACGGAAAAAAAATTGACTACCATTCATCATATATTAATATCGGTAGATTGCCGAATACCAGGGTTTGCCATATTTTGTAAATATTTGAGGCCAAAATGTCATTCGTACTGTCAAGAAAACAAAAGAGCGGTATAATTGCGACAGAGTTGGGCCTCTAAAATTCGCAAATCTAGCAACCGCGACGAATAGTTTTGCGTTTTTATGTCAGCTATACTTGTTTTTCTTTCAAATAAACGTCAGGGCTGAGATTCTTTGTTCTCAATAGTTTCCGTTATTAGTCGAAATCAGTATAGGCTAGCCGTAATTCAAATTAGGCTATAACGACTCTTAACATAATGGACCAAATTGAGATATTTTGTCATTAATTTTCCTTGCATAAAATTCAGCGTGTGCGACCCAAAATCGCACTCACGTTCCTACATTACACTCAGCTAATCAGTCCCGCAAAAATAAACGCATGCTTTTCATAAAATATACCCGCACTTCTGTATACTTGATTCGTATACCCTTAGGGCCAGTTTATACGTCGCATTTTGGTCGCGTTGAATGCAATTCAAACAATAGAAAATACGATTTAAACCTCATTAACATCTATAATTATCTATTTTTCAATTGTTATTGAGACGTTAAACTCGTTGTCGCCCATTTAACGTTCTAACGGATCCTAAGGCTCACATCAGTACGATAGCACACCAGCTCTTACACTATATTTTTGCCCGCTGCCGATCGGTAGGGATGGAGACGGTATCCGAGCGAAACGGTCGGGCTAGGGGTGAAACGGTGTTTCTTTTGAGTTTGCTGTTTTCGGCGCAGATAATAACTCAACGAACCATGCTATTTTAACGGTACCTCCTCCATCCCGTGATCAACTGTCACACGTGAGTCACTGAAGTGAAACCGTGGAATAAACGATACGAACATCAAAGTACACACACACACAAAACAAAAAAAAATACCTGTAAATGTGGCGATCATTAATGAATTTACCTTTACCCCAAACACCCATTCCACGACCAAAACGGGTGTGAAAAGAACTGTGCTTAATCCTGCAAAACAAACTAACAAAAAAAAAACAAACCCCAGCGAGATTAATAAGACGCTTCTCCCGTAGAGTTCACAACATCGCGTGAAGTCGTTAGGGAAAGGGGCGGGATGGGTCACGCAAGCAACTAACAACTCGATCAGGCAAACTGGGCTCATATTTGTACTCACCGGAGGGGGCAAGTAGCCGACCGGACAAGCGTCCTAAGACCCGAGACACTACGATACGAAGACCCGTATAGATAGATAGATAGATAGATAGATGGTTTATTGACTTAAAACTTGCAGCCTCGGCAATAGGCTCCGGCTGAAAAACCTTAAGTGTTACAAAAAGTATGATCTATGTTATTAAAATCCATAAAAGAGGAGGTTCAATTGGTAAAACTATCTATTTACATTATTTAGTGTCTCAGATATATTATACGTATTTACTAGAGTTGAAATTGATAAAATCGTTTTTAAATCTAATTGTTCTACAGTTTGGAACTTGAAATATTCTTTTTTCTCTCAGAGATGCCTCAGATAAATTTAATGCTGGTAATAAATGGTGTAATTTGTCTTGCGGATCATTAACAATTTGCCGAAAAAGTTTATCGGTCAAATTTTGTCTTCGATCGAACAGTGACAAGAGACCTAGTTGATTAAGTGCATCCTCGTACGAATGTTCGGGGAGGATTATTCTGCAAGCTCGGCGTTGTAATCTTTCGAGATCGTCTGACAGGTATTTTGTAAGGGAATCGTGGAATACTTCGCACGCGTATTCAGCAACCGGCCGAATACAAGTAACATAGAACAAGAGAAGATCCTTGGATGGTAACTTTGCCCGTTTCAATTGTCGCAAGAAGTATAGACGAGTTGAAATCTTCTTGCATACAGTCTCAATATGTTTATTCCATTTGAGGTTGTCGGAGATGGTTAAACCGAGTAGTTTTTCACACTGGACTACTTCGATGTTTTTGTCGTTGATAATAATAGGATCAAACTCTCTCTTTACAGTTGAGAAACTTATTCGAAGTTCCTTGCATTTGGACTCTTTTAACTGCATACCATCACTTCTGGATTTTGAAGAGAATTCGTTGACATACGCTTGCATTATACTAGGTTGATCTTTATTTATGACTTCAGACATAGTTGAATCGTCTACGTATTTCCAAAGGTTCTTGTTATCAGCAACATCAAGGTCGTCCATCATGATTAAGAAAAGCCAAGGGCCTAATTTTGTCCCCTGGGGACACCCGCTGGCACAGCCTTCCACTCGGAAAAACAGTCATCGCTAAGTTTAACTCTCTGACTGCGATCAGTGAGGAAGTCTAAGATCCAATGCAATATAGGTTTTGGGATGTTGTATTTTAACAGTTTTCGTGCGAGGATATGATGATCTATCATGTCGAAAGCTTTACGAAAGTCAAAAAGCATAATTCTGATTGTAGAGCCATTTCCGTCCGTGTTTTTATTCCAAAAATGCAACATGCTGATAAGGGCATACGTAGTGCTTGAATTCGGGATGGATCCGAATTGCCTTTTATCAATTGTGGCTAATACCGCAGGTTTTAGGTGTTGTTCAACCACGAATTCTTCGGCCAGTTTTGATAAAATAGGTGTTAATGATATTGGACGTAGGTTGTTATTAATGTCAGTTATGGGTTTCTTTTTAGGGATAGCAATAATGTCGGCCTCTTTCCAAGATTGTGGAATACGGCATTCGCGGTAAGAACTATCTAGGATCTCTTTGACTGGAAGTTCCAATAAATCAGCATTCTCTTTTAACACCCATGTTGGTATTCCATCAGGGCCGTGGGCTTTCCTTGGATTAAGCGTTGACAGTTTTTTAAATACGTCTCCTGCAGCAATTGTGACAGTAGAATCATTAGCTGCGCCAATAACAGATCTTGGTAATTCTCTGGAGTGAGAGGAGTAAATTCAGCCATTGGGGAAAGAAAAGAATCATTTATCTCGTTTGCAATATCTACTTTATCTGTTTCCGTAAGGTGTTCATCAGGTCTTAAGGCTTTAAGGATTTCTTCGTTATTTCCGCTAGTAGATTTTGCTCCACTGAGCTTCTTAACCTCATTCCACCAAGAGGATGGTTTACATTCTTTAAGATGTTGAATGCTATTTTCATAATGCTTCGCACGACAACTTTTCCTTTTGCGGTTTACTTTATTTCTCAAGTACTTGAATTGGGTAATATTTCCTTGGTTAAGAGCTTTCTGGCGTTTCTTAATTAATAATGATAATTTTGAGTTCATCCAGGGAGGTTCATTACACCGAGATGTAGTTGAGCGCAGTGGGAGAATATAATCCAGACCAGTAGTTACAATGGTTTCCAAGAGGGAGATTTTTTCTGTGCAAGAAGGGGCTTTGTCAAACATGCTGGGAATGTCCAACAGTTCCAAATATTTACGGAATGCAAGACGGGAGCTCGGACGTAGATCTCTTTTCTTCACCACTCTTTTCTGCGCTCTTTGGGGTTGACATCGTTCTTTTGGTTTAAATTCTACAGACATATGATCAGAGAGACCGAATGGTGCATACTTTACCGGTTGATCGTAGTATTCGTAAAGATTTGTCAAGACGAGATCAAGAGTATTTCTGCCACGCGTTGGAAAGTTAACAAGTTGACGTAGGTTATAGCTTAGTTTTAATCGGTTGATATTTAACTGATTAAAGTCGCCCAGAATAATAAAACCACAATTAGGATAGCATGATTCCAATGTAGAGAGACAGTTGGATAAATAATCCAGCATTGCTGAGTCGTCAGCACTTGGGGGGTGGTATAAGGTCCCGACGACCAAGCTATTAAATCTTCTCGGCAGTCTGGGCATCAGCATTTTGATCCATAACACCTCAAACAAGTCATTAGTCAAGTTTTCTATTAACTCAAAACCGATCGTATTTTCAATATAAGTACAAACGCCTCCGTGTTGGCCGTTAATTCTGTCTCTGCGGATGAGGTTATATCCTTCGATATTGACTACATTGTCGTGTATATGGCCAAGTCTCCACTATGCTAATGAATTGGTAGTTTCCGCGTCGGACAACATCTTGTACTTCATCAATTTTTGGGGCTAATGACATTACATTAGATAAGAGAAAAGCAGGACATAGTGGGTGTTGTTTTGGTTTGTCGAATCGATGGAATTACCGACTTGTCTGGGAGTGGGATTCATTGGTAGGCAAGGAATTCTGATCAAGTTGGTTTTTTTGGGACGTTTAGTGGCTTCCATATGTTTAGGGGTGGATTTTGTGCGTTGGGTAACCCAAACGGGTATATTTTGGCTTGGTAGGGTGGATAGGTTCGTCGATAGAAAAAAGGATCATCCAATGTAGTGAGGGACTTGTTGTTAGGGACAGGGTGGAAAAAATCACATCTGACATCCTTCAGACAATAACCTTTCCTCTGCAAAAAGGGGCAAAATACTCGGGATTTGTCACAGTACTGCGAATTGGAATGGTAGAAGTCGCACCGATTTCCTTTAGCACACCGACCACGCCGGGCCAAAAAAGGGCAGGGGGTGGATTTCTTGCGATCTTTATTTCTAATAGTATGGTGATTTTTCTGAGTATTACTATTAATCTGTTGTATGCCTGAATCTTTATTTCTAGGAGTATGGTGATTTTTCTGAGTATCACTATTAACCTGCTGTGTGACTGCAGAATTCTTAACAAGGGAAACACTTTGGTTTCTATCATGGGATACTGGCTTTACTATGGGTGCTTTTTGCTGTGAATGCATTTTTCTTAGCTTTTTGGGATCCACTTGGCCATCATATCGAGTAGCTGATAACTCGGATGAAAAATGACCGCCAAGACTTCTTTTATGTTTTTGTTTTCGTCTATATTCCTCTATTTGGTCTTTAAAGCCAGTTGGTTGGTTTTGTTTGGTGGTTGTAGTAGGTTCCATCATTGGCGACGGCGTGATGCTGTCCTCTTGAGGATCCGCATAGACTGCTGCAACTTCGACCACACTTGCATCTGAGCTGCGTTGACTCAGCTCATCATCTTTTTGATATGATTTCATTGTATTAAGCTCATCTTGGAGTCTTTGAACTTGTGTTTCAAGGACAGACCGTTTAAACTTTTCTTCTTCCAGGTCGATCTGAAGCCGAGTAATTTCACTTGTTAAATTTGCCACTATTGGCGTATGCTGGTCCTCACTAGTAATTGTCGATTGCACTGAATCCATCCTAGTTTTCAATATTTCTATCTCGAACAACAAATTTTCAATAGATTCTTCCAAAACAGATTGACTGGGATTTTCTTTCAAGGTATTCTGACAGGGGTTTCCAGGGGGGGGTGTAAACAGGGTGATCAGGCATTCTTTAGCTTCCTTTCCAATCATACCATTAAATGATAGAGTATTTAACTTCCCAGGATACCACGTAGCGACAAAGTCAGAATCCTTGGCCTCAAATCTCTTCGAACTACCCCCAGCTGAACGCCATTTACCCTCGTATCCAAATGACACTTTAACGAAATCTTGAAGAGATTCATAGTTCTCACACCATTTAAGACGCGAACCATCATATGCTATGCTTCTGGACACCACATACTCGTGCATTTTAAGAAAATCCCAATTCATATCGGCTCGATATGAATTGGGATTGTAACTTCCTTTATTATTTAATAATAAATACATTTAAATTGCATTTGACGCGACCAAAATACGACCATAACCCAGGCTTCACTAGTTCTAGCAGTAAGGAGAATCCAATAGTGATTATGTCGCATCCTTTCCCGATATTTCTCTTCTTGTTAAACTAAGCGCAGCTCGCACTAATGTACTTTGCCTGCCCATCTCTCATCTATACGCCATGGTTAAGGCTGATTTTAATATTATTTGCTGACCGCATTCACATGCTATTGTTATGCCAATTCCAACATATGGCAATTTCAAAACCGAATGCAAGCTTATACATAAAATACACTACAATCTACTGTTCCTAGGCTATGCCCACACACGGAAAGGCGAGAATGTGAATGTCCCGATGAAAAGTTATTATCAATATTTGAGATACTTAGATTCAGTTGTCCTCAAAGTATTTGAAATAAACGCCGCTTTTTTAAGTACGTCCAAAAGTCGTCCAAAATAACGTAATAGCCAGTCTGATTTGTCTTCTTAGGTCGATAACCTATCTCTTCCCTAATATCGTCCCAAAAGGAGACATTCAAAATTTCCTTTGCACTAAGAGAAGAATGGCGTCAAAACTGACATTTCCACCAATGCACTTATGCTAGATATTTGTCTTTTAGCACGAAACGCATTTCCCATTGGTATGCTCCTATTGGCCATGCCCATATTGCAAAATCTAAACAATTATAATTCTCATATAGATATAGTCCGAAATTATGGTGTATATACCTTAGCAATTTCCCCTGTACCTTGATTTCCCCTGCTTTATTTTAATCATTGAATAGCACGGGGTCATTTCTTGACAAATGGCGGAAGTTATATAGTACTCGATAAATTCAATTACGCAAATGCGTATACAATGCTATTTCCTCTTCAATACAATATCCCCCTCCCCAATTAGCGCAGCGCCGACGCAGCAGAAGGTTATAAGAGCATGGGTATTGTGGACGGACGATTCAAAACCACGGAAGGATTAGAAGAAAGAAGATTGACTGAAACCTAAGGAAAATGTTAGCGAAAATTTTCGTTTTACTGTGCGCAATCCACGCAGAATTCTGTGCAGGTATTTTATGTCCATGTAATATACTGTGCACATATAATAGAAAATGGCTTTGTTGTTCATTTTATGTACTATTCTTAAGTGCAGAGCACTATAGAAATATTTCCCTAAAATATAATAAACTTTATGAAGTTTATGTTTGTAATTTACGACCATGATATGCTAATTTTCTGTTGTTATATCAGACAATGTCTAGCTATTATTATTTATGCGCGCGATTACATAATTTTCACATGATCACAAATTTGCGTTTACACTTTGTGCGTAGTATTCCAATTCGAAAGCTTTATTCCAATGCCTCAATGCCTTGTGTAAATAGGCGACTGGGTAGTCAGGCAATATCACATGCATGGTAGCCTGTTGGAATATATCGAAATGTAGATAATTATCGCTCTTTTTTCAATCATTGGTTTTATCGATATTGCTTTCTTCTGTGCATAGATATCTCGATATACCCAAAATATCGTTAAACGTCAAACCGCTAACGTAAAACTGCGGTTTGCAGCTTGCCGTAAACGTCAAACTAAATGTCTCTACTGTGATAAAATAACCGACTTTTAAACTAATGTTTCTTGTTTTTGTTTGTAACTTGTGAGACATTCAGTCTTTGGCAAATGAGTTAAACGGCTATATTCGAATACGATTTTTGTAACGTTGTAGCTAATAATAATAAACTGAATAGACTCGTGTAACACACGCGAGCGCCACACGAGAGCGAAAACGCGATTTCGGAACAAACAACACCATTTTTGGTCTGCCCTATTAAGCCAAATTACTAAGTGAGTGAGGGCATTTACACTGCTGAACATTAGTCTATTTGTCATGAATGTCATCTTAAAATGATTTTTCGACTCATTTGTTGTTTTCTTCATAGCGGAGTGGAGAGATATTGGAAGGGGATGTGCTGGTTCAAAAGGTAACCATTTTGCGCTTCTGACAAACAGGGGCGCCTCTGGTTTTGTGAAGGCATTTAGGTTGACTCACACCCGTGGAAAAATCGGATGCTATGCAGGTGCACGCACAAATTGGGGATGTGATAGTCAACACCGCACCAATATGTATGCCACAGACGTTAACAACGTGGTTATGTATCCTTCCCCTGTATTAACTAAGTCTTATAAAAATGGTGGTTGGTATCACCTGCCTGGCTATCGCGAAAATTCACCTCAGCTGGTCTTTTCAGATGTTGGCACAAGGTTCATTTATTCAGGCCAACAAATGCGAGTCTGGTATGGTGAAGATCTTTACGGTTATTCCGAGCATGACAACCATGGACTCACTTGCTTCAAGGCTCAATTATATTTTGTTCAATAGCTGTTTTTTAGAGATCAATTCAGACTCACTTATTTCTTGTTACGTTTAATTGTTAAAAGCTTTCGTTAGTTTAGCTTATTAGAAACAATGGCGAGATTCCAAAGTCACATTGCCATTAAACCATATAGTGCAGCTTGAAAGTTTTTCACAGAGCCTTATCATGTTGCTTTCTAACGGCACAGAATACGAATCAGAAAGGCAACTCACTTATTTTTTGGGTAAATGTGTTTGGTCATGATTTTCAACTAGTACTCAACAAGTACCATAAATAGAAACAATCATCTCCCTCTCCGCATTTGAAATGGCGCTATTTTAAATGTTGGCGCAGGGGGCATCACACCTACGCAAAAAAATGGAGTTCTCCTTCTGATGGGTATATTCTGCACTGGCGGTCAGTAGTACCTGTCAATGGCGGAAAAATCGCGCGATTGGTGGGTCCCATGAGGGACGTTGGAACTTTTGGATTTTACCGAAAGTATGCGCGACCTCCACGCGAGATGATGTGCGCACAAGTGTGTTATTAGTGAGCTTAAGCTCACTATTGCAACATAGCTTACACGTGGAATGACTTGCGTGGGAGGGCTGTGCGCCCACGCTATGTACATACATAATTAAAAATACAAGCTAAAGATTTGCGAGAAAAATATATTATTACTCAACATTGGAAATATGTTACAACATTGGAAATATTTCTTTCAATACCACGAGGACAGTTCATTTTAAAAGTTGATTTTTAAAATATTGTTTGTATGCTTTGTGATGACTTTTCTCGTGACTTGTAAACTGTTCCCTTGTCGTTTTAACCGTCTACTTAAGGTAGACGGCATGGTAAAGGAGACAATAAAACCTGACTCGAGTGGGTCATTTTGGTATGAGTTTTCTTTCTTAGATTTAAAACGGTCTGCAATGACCAACGGTTTAGGCTTCAAATGGTTGTGGATCAATGTTTTAAGTTCATCGTATGACTTATCCCCTGGCCTTTCTGGGCTGACCAAATTACGAATTAATCCAAAATATATGTTTTATGTCCACATACCGTTAACAGAATCGCCCTTTTCGTCTCTGCTTCCTCGACTTCGTTCGCCACCAAATAATCTCTCTAAACGTTCGATATATTCATCCCAATTCTGATCAGTGTAAGCATCGAATTCATTAATATTCCCGAACAAAGCAGCCATATTAAACCGAAGATTTCAGCCGTTTTGATATCAGGTACCTCACAATCCACAATCCCAAATCTTCTAGAGGTACCAGCAAGTCAGTTTAAAAGTTGTTTAATCTCGCAGCCATCCAGAATTACAACTAACGTAACAGCAACGTACAAATACACGCCTAAAAACGCTTAGGTTGATGCAAGTTGATATATAAACAGAATGGAGCAATGTTGTGCTGTCCACATTGTTCAGAGTTGTTATTAATATTGAACAATATTGTTGAAACTGAATCGGGTGTAACAATATTGTTCAATATTGATAACAACCCTGAACAATGTGGGCAGCACAACATTGCTCCAACCTGTTTATATCAACTTGCATCAACCTGAGCGTTTTTACGCGTTTACTCGCTCATATAGTGGTCAGCGCTAGACCAAGTGTCCAGTACCTAATGTAATACACAACATACCCCAATTGAATTTATTGTGTCAAAATGACCAATGAATGACAAATAAAATGTTGGTATAGATTTGTAATTATATAATTAAACAATACACTATTTGGTTCAAGCTGCTCAAGACAAATATGAATGCGTCTCAATTTATAGTAGAGTTCAATTTATATGTAACTTCATCATTTTAGAGATGCTAGAAATGCGAAAACTCATTGGTAATTGTAACTACTCAAATTATCCTGCAAGCAGAATATTTAGTCATTTTCAATATTGAAGGAGGTTACTACCCTTCAAATGTTCTTCCATTAAGTCTAACAAGTCGTATACTTGACAAGCACACATTGTTCCCTATCATTGTGTTAATGAATTTGATACACATTAAAGTGCCTATGTCTCTTGCGGGATCTTTACAGATTTGAATAGAGCTTGAAAAATTAGTTTATAAGTTCCACAACCCTTTTTGATATAATAAATAGTTTCGAAAATACGTCGGTTGGGAGGGCTGGGACTCAGGAATGATTTGCAAACACGCCGTCTTTTATAATGTCGGGAACGGTGCGTTGTGTGTGGCTGTAGCAACCGGGCGAGTTTTTCTAAAAATATTTTACGTTATTGGACGATAGAAGTAAAATTACAATTGATTAGATTATGTTTGACAAGAACTCGGTTCCTGAGTCCCAGGCCCCCGAGCACGATGGAAATTTAGGCAAATCGTCATGTTTAGATTTAAATATTTCCAAAACTATTTAATTACATCAAAAAGCGTCTTAGAACTTATAAACTAATTTTTCAAGCTCTATTCAAATCCGAAAAGATCCCACAAGTGATATAGGCACTTTAAAGTCGACAGGGCTCTCATATGAACAAATCTTTGTGACTTTGTCTCAGCATGCTCTAGGGTATTGATATGGTAAGCCTGAAACCTTTCATTAAATAGACGGTGTCAATTAAGTGGCATGTATTCAAAGTAAATATAGTAATCGATCAGCCAAATTTGCACCACCATTCTGAAACTTTCAATTGGAAGTCTTAATAAGTGGCTTATTATAAATGTCATCAACTTTGAATTGGAAGTCTTAATAAGTGGCTTATTACAAATAAACTATCCTAAATATTGTGAAAACAGAAGGAGTTCATGATAATCGGATTTTGGCAAAGAATAAGCGATGAAATAGACATTGAACAGAATAGTAGCATTATAAGATCTAGATAATTTAGTAAACATCATACCTGGACCGTGCATGTCGATAATCTTTGTGAAAAGATTAGTTGATTAGGGGCCACTAAAACGCATTGTATCTTATGTTCCTACGAGTACAGCTATTCCGATTTATCATGCATTAATCCAGCCTCATTTTTGTTCGGTTTCGGCAAATTTTGGTGAGACGTTAGCAACCAAATTGCAAAAACAGAATCGAGCAGTTAGAGTTTTCTAAAACACTAAAAGGTAATAACCTGTACAAACTTACTGACGTTTTGTTCAACTCACAGCCTTCAGATTAGGATCTTAGAAATTCTGAAATGAAGTCGTATCTGCCCAGGTAAGACACGTATTAATTACCTAAAACGACGCTTTCATTACAGAGGAGCATGATTGTGGAAAAGCCTTCTCGAAAATATACGAAAACTACTATTATTTTCAGTTTAGAAAGGTTGTAAGCGTATATACTGTGCTTAAACTGATCTCGATCCAACACGGCAATCTGGTAATGGCAATGTGTTTAATTGTTGATTCATTATACAATAGACGAAATATATTACACGGCTATATGAATATTCTTTATTACGGATTTCCTAAGTATAGTTTAAAATGAAAATTTTTCTGACTTACCTTTGATACGTCAGTGATCACATTTAATGTAGCTTAGAATAATGATGACCGTAAAAAAAGACTTCCTTTTTGAATACAAACAGACTTGTTTCGCCTTGATTAGTTAAAATATCGTCCATTAGACATACTTTCCGTCGCATTTCATGCACGATGTAAATTATAGAAAATTCACCGAGGCAGAAACTCTTTGAAAGTTTTGTGTCAAAGCTAATGCATGTTTCATTGTTTTAAAAAACAAGTTATTATTGTTAAAGGGGTGTTACACAGTGCAATTTTTCATGAAACTTCAGTACAATTTCACTCTCGAGACATGTGAACAAATTCCTCACAAATTTCCATAATTGTTTATTTTAAAGCAGTGCTTTCAGTTAATGGCCGCCGAATTGAACTTAAAACATACCATAGATTGCCGTGACATACCCAGCATACATAAAATTATTCTATCGGTGGTCGAAATTGGATTGTTTTGTTACTTATGCGCATGCTCCGAGTTTGAAAAAGTGGGGATGGATAATCAGATACGGCCTGCCTGTCTATAAAATGGAAAATTTAAATATCATTTTGTAATATAAACATCAATAAAAACATTAACATTCCACTTCCGAGGTTGACGTCAAAACAAAAACGCGATTGTAACTGCTTCTTTATTGCTTCAAGTTACATTGTGAACGACATTAAAAAAATGAAATACAGTGTATACGAGTACTGTAGGTTTACTTAGTGCACACAGCGCATGTCAGTTCCTGGCCTTGTACATAAGGCAAACATGGCAGAGAACCGCAGTGACTCTCAACGACGTACAACAACCCTCCGTTCAAGTTACTATGAGTTCCTCGAACAGCCTCAGGATCAGAATCAACACAAATGAATTGTGTTCGTTTATGACCGATATTATCAGACATTAGATAACCTTTGTACTCAAGATTCCAACCAGATGGACAGACATTACGTGCAGGTATCATAAGCTGGCTGCCACGATACTCAGCTTCACAAACAGCGCACGTAGCGTCGTGATCATGAAGGTTGGTTGGAAAAAGAGACGCATGTGCATTCATTTCGTATTCTACACCATAAATGTAAGAATAACCTTGGTTGCCAGCTTTTACTTTATCGTAGATTGGGTCAAAAGGCATGCAGAGATAGTTTGAACCACCACCGTTATGAGTATAGTGAGATCCACCCATGACACCTGTGTAAAGGCAAAAATTGCTTTTAAATATCAAGTGAAAATTCCTAGCAATTCCAAAAACGTTACATTCACAATTTCTTTCATTTTAAACAAAGGTATGATTATATGGACGTATTTTGAATACCGCCGTGCAGTATTGAACTTCGAGTTCCTTGTTTGTGAACGAGTGCATGTAAAACCCGATAATGTACAAACAAAGAGTGCTTTAATGCTTTTAATATTCATTTTGAGTAAACTCGTAAAGACTTTGTATCATTTTTAAACTTAACTAAACAACACAGGCTTATCTTGAAATACTAAAACACCCCAAGCGGTTGCCCGTTTAGTATTTTTCGGTGTTGATTCATCTATAATTACATTAATTTCCTCTTCGTTCTCTTCGCTAAGTTCGGCAAATTTTTTGTTTGTTGCCGCCATTTTGATAGTGCAATAAATTGTATAACGGCATTGCCGTGGCGTTGTTGTTATAATTATAACATTCACTCACGTAGTACAAATCGACCAATCAGAACGTAAGTTTACAAAAAATGAATACTAAATCTATATACATCTTAAAATCGGCTATATAGTCATTGGCACTTTAATTCCCTAGATCAATCCTATAATTATAGTGATTTAAGTGAATCAATAAGTATTATATTATTAGCTTGTAGGTACACCACGTAGATATTATTCATATGCAGTCATTTTTCGTTATGATGACGAGTACGTTTTTCAACTTGATCAATAATATACTAATTGTTATCGGTGCCTTCTAAAATGCAGAGAGATAAATAACGACATCATCAAACTAACTCGTTTATAATGGCAACAGTTTGCATGAATGTATTTCTAGTTAGAATTAAATAGGGCGTGTGATGACATGAAATTTTTGAATATTTTCAGAACATGTACTCATCATCATGAAGCTTGGATCTAGAAACTGAAACGGGAACCCAAAGGCCACATTAGTGCAACGTTTGTAATAAGACGTTTCTTTCAATCATGCCAATTAAAAAGACTTAAAGGGCATATACGGGGAAGAATTAAGCCACATGAATCTGATCTTTGTAAGAAGAAATTTCGTGAAAGGAGCGATTTAACAAGACACAAGAGAACACGCACTGGAGAAAATCCTTATGAATGCGATGTTTGTAAGAAGAGATTGTTACAGTCAGCTGGCTTAGCCAGACATAAAAGGACACACGCTGGAAAAAACCTTATGAATGTGATGTTTGTAAGCAGCGCTTCTCGCAGTATGGTGGCTTAGCTAGACATTAAAGAACACACACTGGAGAGAAAGATCATGAATGTCATGTTTGCGAGAAAAGGTTTTGTACTTTTGCTCAATTGACTGGTCATAAAAGAACACACACAGGAGAAAAACGTTATGAATGTGATGTTTTGTAAAAAGAGATTCGCGCAATCTAGTAGTGTGGCTAGACATAAACGAATACACACTGTAGAGAGACCTTATGAATGTGATATTTGTAAGAAGAGATTCTTACAGTGTGGTGGCTTATCAAGACATACAAAAACACACGCTAGACAGCGATTTGATGTTTGTGAGAGAGATTTCGAGATTCTTCGGACATGACTATTCTTCGCACCTTAAGAATGTGAGTAAACTTAGAGTGAATAATGTTTACGGGAATAGATGTTCTCATGGTAATCGCCAGTTTCTCTGGCGATTAAGCTCGTGCTCGTGCACGATTTTTTTAAAAACACGCCCCAGTTGGAAATCAAATTTCTGCTTCCAGCATCCAGTGAGAGAGAGCCCAAAGTCTATGAGTCCCGCATCACAGTTAGGTGGGTCCAAAAAATAGACACTTAGTTGACAGGATGGGAACATTTACTAATAAAGCTTTGATTTGAACCTTAAAAAGTTTTTATTGTTTTCTTACTCGCAGCGTGTAGCACACCGTTTAATTTGGAAAGATTCAACATTTTCGGTGGACGGCCCCATGTCACTGGCAAATCGTTTAATTTCAAAGTTGGAGAGACAGAGCGGAATTGAAATAAAGATAGGTAAATATTTTTCTCCGTCCCAACTAGGGTGAAATAGGAAAAAAACGAATACCAAACCTGGTTGTAAAATAAAAAATTGTGTTGCTGAGAAAAGTTTGCCGCGTAGACCTAATGACTTGCCTATGTCGTGCTCCTCAATACACTGAATATAGTAAGAACACTATCGAAATCCACACGAAAGCTGTTCATTTTAAGTACATTAGCTTGTAGGTACACCACGTAAGCTTAATTATCTTACAGATGTCACCATACAAGCATGCAAGAATATCATTAACTTTAGATTAAAATTTAGTATCGAATTACACCAGACATTTTGACATATATATTTTGCTGTTGTTGAATATTTTAAACAGCCTGTTCCCATACTACAAAGGTTTTATAAAAAGGCTTCCTATAATATTCTGAATATATACCACCAGACGCAAGCGCGACATATAATGAAATGCATAACTCATAAGAACCACGATGCAAAAACGATATAAAAATAGAAGAACACGCATGCAATATCCCCTCCCCTGAAGCAATTATATTTCCAACAGCGAAATGTTCTTGAGCTTCAAATTCAACTATAAATGCGCTACGAATAGTTTTAAATGGTACAATTTTTAGCGAAATCTCAACTGCTTTTTCAACCAGATTCCTGTTTATTAAACTTAATTTGAAATAATTGCTTTAGGTACCAAGAAACCTTTTACATTCTCTTTCACATTTTTTCTTTTCACATTCGCGAACCAAAATTTTAATTTAGGCATGCAATCGCACGTTATTTGCAAGGTTAGCAACGTTTGCTATTATTCCCTGCTTAAACATATATATCAAACTCAAACATGTGCATAACTTACAAAAACGTTGAACGTCTATGATGCTATGGTGGACAAATTCAATTTTGCATTTGCATTCCCGGGCGCGTAATTAAAATCTCAAAGCGGAATGAGTATACGTACCCTCGCCAAGCGCTTCACGCCGGCCTTTGTCAAACAAGCATTAATAACAATAGCTAATTCACTACATGATATCACACTTACTATAATATGTTGATTATAGTATACAGCACCTCTACGGGGGTACCTAGCAACGCATTGCGACAAAAAAGAATCGGTACTCCATGCGTACACGAGGGTAGCGAATTTATTTGTTCTCGCGGGGGATGTAAACCTCGTATTTTCCTAATTACGCATGCACGGTCTCTGTCTACTATTATAGTAGAACACAATGCACTTCTTTGTATACTAAATCCCTTTCATATAACATGCATGTATCTTTTACTGATTTTTCTTCTCGCATATAAGTAATGTGTAAACGTCGTGAGACGTGTACTTGACTTCATGAGTTTGGTTTATTGTTTAAAAAAATAGAAAATTTTGATTCGCAGCAACTTTGATTCTCTTCAATACTTCATGAAAACAATTTTGAATCTGCATGGAGGTGAAGTTATCACTAATCACGCCTCGTTTATGATCAAGTAAAATAACCCTTTCTAAATAATTTTCCTCATTCTTTCTTGCCAGAATCGCTAAATTATTGTCGTAACCTTTCATGATGGAAAATAATATATTTACGTGCATGTTTAAAATTCTTATACATACATCTATACATTATGCATATACATGCAGTCAACGTCGACTCAAAGTACTAATATATCTGTTATCAAAAGTCTCATAAAATTGCAATAAAGATAAGATAAACCAATTACATTTCAAAAAAGGATATCAATATAAAACGACGTAAAGTTCGAATTCCTTCAATGTGGTCGCCAGTCGCATCTCGTTAGTAAACAAAACCACCCTTATCATTATCACATCTCAGTTGCTCACATTTTCCCAGAGTCGCAAAATTTTTTTGTTACCTTTGCACCATTCATATAATTATATAGAATAATGCATACAATTATGGTCGGTCAGATAATAACGAGACAAGACAAAAGAAGACAATATCTCATATATCATATAACTTATATAATAATTATTTAGGATATGAGCCTGTCATGTCAAAATCAATTTTTAGTCATCTACTTTTGCGCGCAAACTGCTTTCAAAAGCACTTTTTTTGTTAAAAAACAAAAAAAAAAATATTGTCATTTTTTTAATTGAGTTCGACGAAGAAGAACGCTTCCTAGCAGGGTCTTATAGAGATTTGCGATGTTAGATTTGCCTCGTTTTGATGTGTCGTCATAGTAACTGGAGACCATGTGCTCGCTTTATTTTGACATTTTGTTGTGAATTAAAGCATATGAGCCATTACTGTTGTTAAATTACTCATTTTGCGGGTGACCTTTTGAATCACATAGGCTGTGAGCTTGTGACGTTATAATGTTAACATTTTCGTTAATGATCGTAAACTGAAATCAACGTATTCCGGAATCGGATCCCAACGCACATCACTAATCTGTGATTACTGCTAATAATGGTAAACATTTATACAAAAGACGTCTGTTCTGGCGTTAACTCCGGCGTGCCGCGCACGTGCCAGTCTTCAATATAAAGCTTCTGAACATAAACAATACTCATTAAAATGCCTTGCGAACCTAAATTTTGTTCGATCGCGACATTCAGAAGCACATAGTACTTTAAAAAGTATAGAAGTTCAATTGTTTAAAAATGTAAATAAACCGCATGTTACGTTCACTTTGTCTTGCACTTTGGAATTCGCGCTTATATTAAATCTTCAATCCTGTGCAATTAGCTGCGACGTGTCAACGCGCCCGTAAACCACCACATCGGCGAAATAGCAGCGATATTATTAAAATAGGACCAGAATCTACACGTATTAAATATATTCTTACTCCAATTAATCGAACAGCATCAAAATAACTTTTTATTAATTTTGTTCCTCTTCGAGGAATTGCCGTATCATGCGAGCGAAATCAAATCGCGCATCGGAAAATTAGCCAAAGATTTCGAGCTGTGCACCACAACTCTTGAATACTGCATGTGACGTAGATAAATACTGTCAAAATACACTTTTCAAATACTAGTATACTTTGCGCCAAAACACACTTGCGACGACAAAAAAATGATAAAAAATATATAAAGAAAAACCAAAAAAAACCGAGGCGAATTTTCAACTCCGTTGCTTACGCCAGGGTTATAATAAGCGTAAGCATTTTCTCTAATGCTCCACAAAATCTATTATTATTCAGTAATAAAAATATTCTGACCAACACAATCCAAAGCCTTTTAATTTAGGGTCAAGAGATATAACACCGTTCAAATAATACGGTAAACAAAGAGACATTAATTAAAGGTGCATAATGGTCACAGAGATATAAACCAATTATGCTTCAAAAAGGATATTAAAATGAAGCGACATAAAGTTCGAGTTCCTTCAATGTGGTCGCAAGTCGCATCTCATTAATCAATAAAGCCACCCTTTTATCACATCTTTGCTCACATTTTTCCAGCGTCGCAAAA